ATGTTCATTACTGAAAGAAGTCAGAAAAACCAGAGTACATACATAATACAGTACCATGACTATTGCATAATTTGCAAATGTGCTAATAAAACCAAGGCACAAGTCCATACAAAAGCTTGAGCCACTGTCTCTGGCAAGGAGCCAGCTTTTTAATCATCACAATTATGGAGACATATTCATAATACTTGCTCGCTATACAATTCTTGTGGGAGTCAAATTTGGGAGTTAAATTTGGAAGACGTTGAGAAAAACATCTTACAGATAAAAAAAAAACATATCAGATAACGGGGTGTTCATCATAAATCACCCAAATTCAAAACAAAGCCAGAGATAAAGACCATGGAGGCCTGAAGCCATTTTAACAACCTCTGTGAGACACATAATCCACACAATGTGCCTTTACAATACTCGGCGGTGACATTACTTTGAATGCATGGCACACATTATGTCGGGAGTTCTGGAAGCAATCATGTGCTGACAGTTCCGGTGAAATCGTATCTGCCCTGGTTGTGGCATCCCTACAGGGACCAAATGGAAAATACCCCCCCCCCCCACAACAGAGGAATGGAGATGAATCAAAACTCCAACACGATTAAAGATTAGTCGGTTCTTTTGCAATCCAGATTCTCTTCTATTAATTTACAAGTCCTAATTATATACTCTGTGCACAAGTTCTCTCCTAATCAGTTTAGTTACCCAAAAAAGCTTTAAAAATTTCACACTAGAGCCTCTCAACCTGGGTTGAACTCAACCCTGGGCGAACCCAGTGCCGCCCCGGATTGAGTTTTTGCTTTTTCAACCCTGCGTTTAAAGGGAATATACATCATTTGCTTTTGCTGTAAGTTTCAGAAATGGATGGAATTGGGGGGTTGGAAATATATAGCAAATATAGTTACACTGACTTTTTTTGAGGTTTTGGGTTCGAAAATGCTATAAAAACCAAGAAAAACAATCATTTTCCTGTAGTCTGGTTCCCTGACTCCATTTAAGAAGAAACAGAGCAGTTTACACACATTGGGGAATTGTAAGGTCAGGGAACCAGTCTAGCTGGCCTTTACCCGTTCATAGGTGTGTAACCGATTGCAAATAAGTGCGATGGTCAACTGGGGCCAGTACTTGAAAAAAAGCCAGTTTTTTCCAACGCTGGTCGGCCGATCAGCGTTGGAAATTGATACAAAAATACCACTTTTCTTGAAAATGACAGTATACCAGGTGCCAGGATTTGACAGGATGCTTTACACTGTCATTCAATAACAGTCCAGCAAGGTATTTCAAAATGATTTGGTAGCTTTATTTTTTGATGTTTGCAAATGTTGTATTTTCCCTTTAAACCCCCCCGTCATTTCACACTTTTTTTTCGTGCCAACCCGATTGAAATTTTCAACCGGAATTGAAAATCTCAAGACTGGTTGGAAGCAGGGCCAAGTTCAACCTGGTGCGAAATCAATCTCAGGGTTGACGCGGGGTTGGCGTGGGGTTGAAAAAGTTTGAAAAGCTGCATGTTTTTAACCCTGCGTCAACCCCGAGATTTTTCTAGTGTGTGAATGTAAAAAAAGAGGGTGAAGTGCTGACTCCAAGTCAATACTGCTTTGTGCACAGCCATTCAAAATGAATGAATTTCTTTCAGAGTTTACTCCATGTACCGTGCGTACTGGTATGAACCGGTAACTAGCATAAACCAGTGCATGCATATGATGTGTAGACGAACTGTTCATTCACAGACCTCCTTCTTGCAATCAGAAAATGTCAAAAGTTTGAAAGAACAACATTTTGATACCCACAAACTAAATTTATACAGCAATGGCCGGCTCCACTGATTTTGAGCCATGGGTCTACCACAAATCACACAATAACTCACTGTACACTTGTTCCCCCTGAGGGGCTTGCCTAGATCCGGGCAACATACTGTAGAGCAACTTGATTCATGCGCACACAGTACGAGCCCTTATACTCCTGTGAGGGCCCTCTCATCACAAGCTTTACTTCCTAACCTTCCAAACATGTTAGTCTGAGGCCTTAAAGGTGTCAATTTCCAGACAGTGCCGGTGGTACCAGACCACATTCCTGCACTAGGACTGCATCTAAATGGTCCATGATCTGAATCACTTGGAAGTGGCTGGCAGTGTATACACACATTCATTTCAAGCCAAGTGCTGCCATCTTAAAAGGCCTTTTCATACTAGAGCCTCTCAATCCCGGTTGAACTCAAACCTGAGCAGCCCAGTGCTGCCCGAGTGCCCGGGCTTGGTTTTTAAAATATTTTTCAACCCTGCGTTCAACCCTGCATCGTTTCACAATTGTTTTGTACAAACCAAGTTTATCGGTTACCAGTACTAGAATACTACTGTTTTGAGCCCTGGCAAGAGTTTTAACCCGGGTTGGCCGGACCGGACGCACATGTGCGCCCGGTTACTATAATTCGTCTGTTCGGTGCGAGACCTCGCGTAGCTGCAATCGGCTGAATTCGGGCGCGATTCAAAACAAGACTCGTCAACTTTTGATTTGAAATCGAGATCCCAGAAATATTGTTTTCTGGGAACATACAGCATACACTGAGCTAAATCTTCATCAGGTTAGTTGTTCAGCAACATTCTTTAGATTTTGAGCACTTCGGTTGCTTCAAACGAACACAAATGCACAAATTATACAAATGATGGACTCTACCTTTAATTTTCACATTGTATGTAACCTTACAAATTATCCCCCACCCAAACCATTGATGCACTGAAGTGTCACTTTTTCTTCCCTAGTAAGGTGGATCTCCCAACCCTTTCTAGTCAGGTACTTGAGACTCGGTCTATTGATTCGCAACCATTTATTACCACCCCTTTAGTACCCTGGGCTCAAGATCCTACCCAATGAATACCAAGTGCTTCAAGAGGGTAGGATGAGCCAACTCGGTATGGGGGGAAATTTCCACATTGATCAGCCGAACAAGAGGGGATTTTCCTCTTGTGGATGTAGATCTCTTTTGTCTACAAAGAAGGATCAGAGGACCCCTTTACAATACAGGCAGGGTAATCTCATTAAAATTCTACCACGGAGGGTGTCAACCCAAGTTGTTTGATCAGACTTGAAAACTAAATATCCTGAAAGTTTACACTGGGAAATCCACAAACTTGTACAATATTTAAAGGCTTTCTGTTGAGTACAAAAAAATGTGTCATTTCAAAATATGCATTCTTCTCTTTTGTTCTTTTACCGTATCCAAAAATGCACTCTTTTAACCATTAACTTCAACACTAGCCATACTGTTCCTCATAAGCGTGGAACCGGGTTAACTCTATCAAGTTTAAATTTGGCCACAATTCCTCCGTCAGTCACGGAATTCTGGAGTCAAGAAACCTTCAGTAACTTAGGAATCCGAATTCCTGAACAAGTCGGCGTTGTAAGAATGTCAACACCTCACTATTACTAGAATACCTCCTATTGAGTATAAAACCTTTCCAGATGGAGAAACAGTCGCCCATTTCTAGGCTCTGCTGTGTAGGCCGGCTATGCATTGAACTTTGGGTTAAGTTGAACATTGAGTTCACTTGTACAGTTTCAAAAAAAAAAAAGAACGGTGGTCTAAAACCAAACCAAGTTTGCAAACTACGCCCAAAAAAATTATCCAAAAAAGTGTCTTACGAAAGAAAGTGTACGACAACTTTCCCAAGAAAAGTTGAAGACAAATGCCCTTTAACCACAACAAAGATCTCTAACTCAGAACACTGGTTCCACAACAGGCCTGAAATAATAACCAGTATGGATACATTCCACTCTTAGTCCCTGGGGGAAGGTCAAATCCGGAATCCACTCCAAGAAGTGTTTTCCTTTACTAGTCAGGGGCGGAGATGTAACAAGAAACTACACTAATCTTGGCCAAGGGAAGCAAGATGCTCTGTAGATTATTGCCTGAATCCTTTTCTTCATGGAGACAGTTGAGGGAGGGATCTAGACACGAAGACGCTATGGTCTTTGCAGCGGAAATTACTTGGAATAACTTCACAAGAAAAAGCGGGTATACAAATTTGAAACTGAGCAAACATACACTGAAGTGAAGGTGAAATACATCCTCAACAAAATTAGTCGAAGGCAGCATAGTTTTGGACAAAAAAGTAAAGGCGGTTTAGGAATAACAATTTTTTCCAGATTTGGTGAAACAATTTTTTTAATAGGTGTAAAATGTGCACACCAAGTTACGTTTAATCATACCGCTCTTGAGCTATCGGCAAACACTGTTGACATATTATCAGTGCTATTCCTATAGATGAAGTCGTCACAGCTGTTTTTATTCCAACAATTAATTTTGATACTTGACACCTCTCGTAAAAAAATTATTTCTGCTCAGTATATTTGTATTAAAATTATGTAATAAACTTTTCAATAAACATGAAAAGTTTTTAGCAAATGGCAACTGGCATGACTGGTCAAATGCTGCTGGTACTTGAAAAGTAAATATTGTAAGATTAATAACGGATATCTTTAAATTTCACATGAAAAAAAGTGAGAAATGAATAGAAAAAAAAATGTCATTTTTACTTGGTTGTCAACTAATCCTTTACGTACAAATGCAATGACTATTAAAACATTTGTGTGAAATATCTAGTTTGCACTTAATCAAAACATTTTCAAAAATAGAAAATCTTGTTTAAAAGTAGGTTAAGAATTTAACAACAAAGTGGCCCTGATGCCAATATTGATCTGACAGATTAGTTTGTTTTGCATACGTACGGATCAGAACACATTCTCATCTCAAATTTCAAAAACAATTCAAACATTTAAATTTTCGCTATGTATTCCAGACTAACATGACAAACGACATCTGATCCTGATGTTAAGGGACGCACACATGCATGAACAACTCAAAAACCGAAATGCCCCCCACACACCATGCACGAAACGGCACTTTGCTGACAAGACTTCAGCCTTTACCACGCAGCGACCACGACTAGGCACCGTGTTCACGGCCACTGAACATACCGTAACAAACGCACACCACACGGTACACAACTCACCTCCGTGCACGGTGAATACCAAGACCCCGACCAAGAACCACCAGCTCGCGAGCCCGGCCATATTTCTCCTCGTCAAAATCACGGCACGCACACAAAAATCCAAGAGTTGGGAGACTACCGGGCTGTTAGAATAGATCCTCGATGATCGCTCCCCTTCTTTCCGCTAGCAGGAAAACTAGGAGATTTTGGAGGAAGAACCAGTTATTTCGGGAACATTTTCTCAACGCAGCTACCCGATTTCACTACAAAATGTTATGTGTTGATATGATGCGGCGACACGGCGTGTGTACGGACGTACGTGTATACAGTTTGTATGCATACGTAATATGTGTACAATGCGTGTGTACAAAATGCGGTGTTCCGTTTTTATCACTCGAGCCGATACACATTGTGCATGCGCGAGTCGAGGCCGGGTGATCAAAAAAACATGTACAATGACCGCCCTCGAATTATATTACTCGGCATATTTTTTTTTCTCCACCGCCCTTTTTTTTCTTTTACCAAAATTTCTTTTATAAAAGCTAGATATCAGAATAAATTCCAAAAAGACACCGGGTGGCCTTAATAGTTTATTGCATGTCATGAAGCGGTGCCCACGGATAGAATCACAAATTACTGAGTTTTTATTACGACAATGGTTCTGCTTCAGAGATCAAAGAAAACCGCTGGATGAAGTAATTTATCACTTTGTCAAAACCAGGGCAAAAACATAGTGCGAAAATATAGGATTCTGTTTTTCTAATACCCCCCCCCCCCCGGAATTGTGGTTTTTAATTTGGTATATGGATCAATGGTTCATTGTACTTTAATATAGATTTTTTTTTAATAACAACTTCATTGTTCATAAAAATAACATCAGGCAACATATTTTGTTCAGGTTCAGGTAACTTAGTAATGAATGAAATTTTGAAGGCAATTATTCATTATTAATTTCAACTGATGTAAATCAACAATACTCTCACATTCAAATGAAGCAAGTAAATCAAATTGAATCAATGATGATAAACGAAGGCACGTCGTACCTTTTTGGCGCTGAGTTTTATAGGGGTTAAATCTAAATGGTTTATTTGGGGTTAAATTGACCTCCACAACGTTGAGATTTCAAACATCAGCACAGGAAACAGATTTTACTACTCTTCGTGCCATCTTTCCAAGCCTCTTGCCGCGGAGAATTGAAGGCATTCAACCAGTGTAATTGGATGGCGAGTTGTGGCTTTTCAATTCCGCGCTTTGTAATCCGATCGCTTTGTGACTGTGTTCACGCCGAAAAGCCGACAAAAACACCCACCAACTATTAAAAAAAAAAAAGCATTATAGCGATACGTCCCCCCCCCCGTTTCTTTCCGGGATATGTGTGTGTGGACTTGCCAAAAGGAAAGCTTCATGATTGAAAAATAAATTGATTGGAGTCGATTTAGCTGGGCGATCGGTTCATGTCTTTGTGGAGTGCGCCCTTTGCTGCCGTTATTACCCGACAGTGAGTTTAGCCTGGCAGCTCTTTATGGGAATTAATGACAAATCGCCAACATTTATCGCCAATGCATCACCTTCTTTTCAAAGAAAATTTTAGTACCGGATCGTCAGTAACCCTAGCTCTTGGTTCCGGGGAAGGAGGCAAAACTTGTCTGGAAAGTGCTCGATATTAAACCCAAGTTCCCCCCCCCCCGGGTGTGAAAACCGATGGGGAAATAAGAGTTCGCCGTAAAAAAAAAGAGAGCAATTCTGACGTAAACCTTGACATGTTTTGAATATTAACTTTCTAAGTTTTAACTTTCTTTAGTTCAATTTAGCAGAGTGAATCAGGAAAACACTGGTTGCAGCGAAAACTACAACTTATAGCTTAGGACAATTTGTTACCGAGTCTTCGTGAGGGATAAAATAATGAGCGCCAGCCGGCAATTTATTTCTATGGAAATTGTACCAAATGAAATCTTTCAGTTTAAATTTTCGTTTTAAATTGATAACGATTGCATTACAAAATTCATCGGTAAACTTGGTACCAACTCAAAGTCAAAAACTTCAAACTTGGTGCTGGTGCAGTCCGAGTAACTTATCGCCTTTTTAACACTCGGACATGGTCTGGCGATAGTACTACTATATCGCCACACCAAAGGTATGTCCGAATGTAAAAAGGCGATAAGTTGGGTCCAAGTTACTCGGACTAGTGCTGGTGGACAGTAGAATAAAACTGTCACGCTTCGTGAGATTTCACTTTACAAGTACATGTACATGCATATACTACTAAAAAACCCTTAAATCTTCCCGTAGTCCAATGATTTTTAATAGGGGTGAAATTAACACCAAAGTTATTTTTGACGTCTTGAATTCGCTCGTACCCGCCCTGCAAACAGGAGGGCGGGGGTACGAGCGAACGTCTTGAACGGCAGTGAAGTATAGCGCCCTCAACGGTTATATAAATTCAGTCAAACTTCAGGAGTGTTTAATTTCGTTAAAAAAAAAGACACACAAGTTCAATATCAAAGTACACGTATTCACTCAAAGTTTTTCCACAAAATAATTGAAAAAAAATCTGATAAAAAAAAATAATTCAGGAAATTACACAAACAAGACGTACAGGATGAGGCAATGTGTTTATTTCGTACAAAAAATGTGAAGAAACCACTTTCCATTTGAAGATAAATTCTAAAATACATCTCTACAAAAACGACGATGATAAAAACGTCCAACAATATTTCTCTTTGGTGAAAACCTTTCTCGTAAATTATGAATTATATCTTTACAAAGCACTCTTTATAATGTGTGTAGATTTTAACCAGCTAATTACACATCACAGAGTATAGATATTTATATAGTTTCATGCAATAACATAAAGTACATATGATATTGAACACGTAGAACTCTTTTTTCCCCCCTTTTTTTCAAAAATAAAAGTAAAACATGCCGATAAAGTATTTTGGAAAATATAACAAAATGAAATGAGCGCATTACCCAAAGCAACAAACAAAACAAGCCTGCAAAGCAATGCTTATGGCCCAATTCCATGGCTCTGCTTACCGTTAGTAAAAAATCCCTGCTTACTGTTGCAGAAAATTCCGTGCTAACGGTAAGTCTTTTTCTGAAATGATGATGGTGATTTTGTCTGTTTTCATCCATGGCTATCGGTAAATGATCAGTGGTGGACAGCAGAATTGTGTGGTATTTCTTTTAAATTAGAGATAACTTGTGATTAGAGTATGCAAATTACATTGTGGGCACATGTGGTCTAGCAGACTGCAGTAGAGCACAGGATTCATGATCGTGAGATTGTGGGTTCGAGCCCTACCGTGGCCATGCGTGTTGTGCCCTTGAGTAAGGCGCTTTACCTCAATTACTCCTCTCAACCCAGGTGCGATCCCCCCACAGAAGCATTTCATGGACTCGAGTCTGGCCCAATCACTTTGCAAGAGAGATGGGCACTCCGTTCCTGTGAACACGGGTTCGTCCCCTTTACCTTTTTTTTTACCATTAAATTACATGAAATGTTCACAGTTAGTTGTCAATAACATGTATTTTATTCCTATGTCATTTTTATTAAATGAAGTGAGCCACATATTAAAAAAAAAAAAAAAAAAACTCGATCACTTTCTGTTTGACTCAACCTGTATTTAGGTTAAGATTAAAAAGACCATTTCAGTGATATAAATATTCATGAAACAAATAACAGAGATCTGACTCCTTGGATCAGAGTATCAAGTAGCTGCAGTTTAACAAAATGAAGATATTGCACTTCTCACAGGACAATCTTAAAACATATCAAGTTAATATATCAGTAATAGTGCATGTAAGCTTCGCCTTCACTTTTCTGTGAATGTACCAAACACTGACTAGTCTAGTCACAGACCCCCGTGTTAGCATAAATTTACCCAGTTGTTAACTGCGTGATCAATTGAACAGAAATTGAGGTCAACCATTTCAACTTTATAATAGTCATCAATTCACATTCATAAATACCTAAGACAGTTTAGCTATTCCTATTGGTCGAGAGCCCGTCACGTGGCCGGTCTTAAACGGATGATAAAGACATGGCTAGCTGGTCTTAAACACTTTTCCAGTGTCACAATAAAATATGGACTCCTAAAAATCCAGTGACTCTTACCGTTTTATTGGTTGAACATTCACAATCCTCATGTAGGCATGCGCAACACTACCAGCGAGTCAAAATTTTATAGTTCTAAAATCAAAATGCAACGCCCCATCAGGTGCGTTCTGCGCGACATCGCGCAGAACATGCTACACGCGCGTCAATCTCCATAAAAGGGTTGTTTACATCTTTCTCGCCAGCTGAACACTCCATTATTTTGCTAGAGGGATGTTTCAAAAAGCATGAAGTGAACTTGTTGCACAAAATCGGGATTTTTTGAACGAATTATTTGAAATTTGTTTACCGAAAAGGTATTTATGAATGGGAATAAGTATGTGCTCGGTCGGTATTTATCACTCTGTTTAAGACTGCTTAGAGTCTGGGTGCTGATAATTACCCTCGCCTCCGGCTCGGGTAATTATCAGCACCCAGACTCTAAGCAGTCTTAAACAGAGTGATAAAAACCTCCGGAGCGCACATTTATTCCCTTAATAATATTCTCCCTTATGCTGTAAACTGTAATGCTTTCTTTTCTTTCGAAATACGTGTACCCATTTATCGCCCCCTTGATTGGATGGGCCAGGTCAGGACATAAAATAAACCCCAAAATCGGACGTTACACACGTTGTAGATCCTATTCATGGTGCCTGGAAGTACTGTATTCTTGTAAAATCTCGCAAATTTTTGAGGTCAAATTACCCGCTCCATTGATTAATACAAAAAAAGCTACATTTTTGTTTTAACTCAAACTGATGGTTTTGGAGATGCCAATGAAAGGCTTAATAATTATTTTCACCATTTACCTAAAATGTGTACAGAATATGTCTAAAACACCTTAGATTTTGTTAGTTTTCACAGAGAAAAGCACACAAAAATAAAAGGCTTGGAGGTGTTCCTTGTGGGCTAAAACTTCAGCCAACTTCTTATTCAAAATGCTGATGACAGAGACTATATGGGTGAAATTGTGTTTAGTACACTGTTTCACTGCACCCTTTAGTGTATCATTGTAGACAATGTAAAGTTAACACGCAAACAGATCTGTGTAGCAATGAAAATGTAGGGCAAAAGAATTGAGCAAATGGATGCGAACAATTTAAGTCACAAAAAATAAACACCATGATCAAAAGTTGCTGAATCATGTTTTGAATTGGGTCTGAATTCAGCGTCTGAGACATGTTCTCACTGAGCCGATTGCAGCTACGTGATGTCGCGCACATGATCCGATGTATTATAGCAACCGCACGCGCGTGTGCGTCATGTCAACGCTCGCGCGCGCTTCGCCGAATAAAAAAACGAACTACTAACGGAAATTTCCAACGATGCGTTTTTACATGCATCGTTGGAAAGGCCTTCTTTCCTACCTTCTTTGACCTTCTTTTATTGTTTTCTTCAAAATGACAGCTTGCCAGAAAGAATAATTTCACAGGGAGTTTAGTCCCCTTACTATCTTTCACCCAAGTATGTGTTTCAACAATAATTACGTCAGTTACTTTCTGGACAGCTGCAAATGATGGATTGTAGCTTTAATTCTATTTTTTAACACCATTATCGGAAGGGCTTTCACAAAATCATGGCTAGAGATAGTGAGAAAAACAATCTCTAGACATTGAGTGGTTCACATTTTCGAATAAATTCTGTAATTCTATCTTTTATCACCATTATTGGAAGGGCTTTCAACCTGACGCCTCTTGGACAATGATTCTAGATTGGGGCTGGGTGGGTCGTGGTGAACCTTCATGCTGGATGTGGAGCTAACGACCGGCAGTTCCTTGAGAGAGCGAGAACCCTCATAACCTGTGATACAACACAAAAAGGGAAAGAACACAACATGTTTATAAATAACATCAATCGATAGAACAAACACATCCTGAATGGTACAACTGCTTAGATTGATGTTGGACAGGAGTAGACATTAAGGGAATCATTGAAATATGTGCTTGGACGATTTTAAACAAATACGTTTCAAACAATATACAATTTAATGGCCCCAGCCGACCAGGCCCCTGGCCGGTTTTAAACATCAGCAAATATTTGTTCCCATTCATAAATACCTTTCGGTCAAAAAGACAAAACAAGTCAAAAATTCACAATTTCGAATGATTTTGTTGAACAATTTTACTTCATGTTTTGTGAAACTCCCCTGTAACTATGTTTATGGGTATGTGCCTACGTGAGTAGTACTTAAAGTCTCCTTATATGGAGATAGGCGCACGCGTGGCACGTACAGCGCGATGCGGTGCCCGTGTAGTGTGAATTTAGTACTCTATGAGATACGGACTCATTGGTAGTACTGCGATAGGAGTTGAAATTTCATACGACACCAAAAAAAAAAAATGTTTAAAACCAGTGGGTGTTTTATCAACTGTTTAAAACTACTCAAATGATGGGCTCTCGACCAATAGGAATTGGGAAACTGTATTAGGTATTTATGAATATTACATGAAAAGAAGCATCCACTTTTGCAAAATAAATCTCCTTAAAGATGGAGGTACAAAACTTCACACACAATTTTCAGCAGATTTTTGAGTAAGTGGATACACTGGACATATGGAGAAAAAAGGTAAAAAATCATTGGGATCTGAGCTTGCTGTGAACCATGACAAGGAAGATGATCACTTAAAGAACATCTAGAGCACATGGTTCCACGTAGAAATGATTCTGATTCTTCAAATGTCATTGGAAAGACTGGGTAAACATGCTCACAGGAATAATGTGTGGATATGTTTACAGTGAGGATGACATGTACTGTTTGAAGTGATAGTTGAAAAGAGTCCCAACACCAGATGAGAGTAAATCCTCACATACAAGATGATCAATAAATATGGTTGATATTGCTCAAACATAAAGGTTGTCACCACAACTACACAAAAACTATAGTTAACCACGGCTGGTTGACTTTACATTTATGCCTCATCTAGTTGATTGTTGTTTCGCTCATAGTTTATACTAGAGTCATTGAAATTAGATGTTAAACACAAACAAAGGTTTCTTAAGTTGTAAAGTTTGTTGGTCTTTTTTTATATCTAATCATACATGTAATAATGCTGGCAACAGGTCTGCAGACCACAGAGTTTTTAATTTGGTTGTCTTTGACCCATCTCTGTGGGTTTTTTTTTAAATACACCTAAATAACTAACAATAATAAAATAGTCAATTCCAAGTTTGACTGGAGTCAGTTAAGATGAAAATTATACAAATAATGAATGTTTATGAGTGCAATGGTAAGAATAATTTCATGAGGTGACAGATTCCATCTGTCACCTCATGAAATTATTCTTTCCATTGCACGAATGTGAAACATTCAATATATGTTTTGTACAACACCTGGATACATCCTTGTCATCTGATTGGTCAGAGTCACAAACAGTGTGACTAATGGAACTTCTATGTACTGTGGAATAGAACTTCTATTTTTTGTGGTGCAGCCGGGCCATGACAAAAAATGGGACTAATAATTCAATGACTTGTGATCAAGGAGCTACCGATCAGTTGGCAGGAATTTATTCAGGCGTTGTATAATTGACATTATGATGAGGACTTGAACTTTGAGTTACGGCAATTTACTTAAACTCGAGGACCAAACGAATGAAAAGAAAGATGTTTGAAAGAAACCCAATTGCCTTGATTACTGATAGATTATTGAATAAGTCTACTACATGTTTGCTCAAATTTGACCAAATTGTGGAAAGTTAAAAGAATTTTTTTTATGCATCTGATAACTTTACTTGTGAAAAATGGTTACTTACAGCTTAAATTATGAGCTATTGATTTGTAAGCCTGACTTCATCAGCTTAGTATTTTGACCTTGATAACTATGAAGTTTACAACATGCCCCACACAACAGTCAACTACAACATTCTATGTCAACATTTAGATGAGATGTTATGGTCCTAACATTGACATTATGCCAAAATGAAAATCAAACAGAGTTGTTGTTAAGACGTCATCAGTCCATCACATGACATCCAATCCAAAGTCAAGACACAAGCTATTCAAATTATCTGTTGCAGTGGCATTTCTTTTTCATTTTTCATCCCGTTAGTTGTGATTTGACAAGGCAAGGTCACCATTTTTTGGTGGCAAATAGAGTATATTGAGAAAAAACTGAGTGTTTCATATGAATGGTTATTACCTTGTCTTCCACAGGAATTTTTTGATTTTTCAAATTACATGTAGTAGTGGGGCAGATAGGGGAAATATTTGGAAGAATTGTGTGCCTATGATGAAACAAATATGGAAGTTGGCACACAGTCAGAGCATGTCTTGAGAAAGATATTTGGCTATAGGGCCATCACAGATTTGTCCTTTAAAAAAATAAAGGTGGAACAACAAAGCAATTTTCAAAATGTTCAAAATGGCTGCCATTGCTTGTTATTCCCTGCTTGTATCATAAAACGCACAATCCCATCACCAATCTGCCGAACTATAGTGGCTGTGTTGAGGAGTTGTGCCATTTTCATTGACGGGGCTCATTTTCCAGTCTGCACACGGAATTGGTTTTTCCTTTTTTAAATGTGTCAGTAACTTCCAGTGAGTCAGTCACAATGACCAGGTTTTTAGTTGTTATTACACTGCTTCACATCAGTATGCAATTTCAATAAATTTGTTGAACCATGGAACCGTGGTCAGAGTGTTTTTTAGCGTGTGCTTTTTGCTAGCGCTTTTCTTCAAAATGGTACAAAGGATATACATGAAACTTTCACCAAATATGTCCAAAATACCAGCTTATAACATATCTCATTTGCACTTGTTTTGATAATTGCTATATATTTTTAATATGTTCTTTAATTTGGGTCCAGATCATTCTGACTCACCTTGTACACAACTGGGAATTAACAAAAAAGAGGAAATTCAAAGTGTGAAGTAACAAATGAGGAAATCAGCTGATATAAGGAAAAGTCTACCTGTTGACTTCTGATTAAAATGCAATATGACTTGTGATGGGTTTACTACCACAACCTAGGAAACTAACGTCATGGAGTATGATTGTATGAAATTCCACTGAATATGCATGCATACAGAGATCACTGGATGACAAATGACAGAAATGAGAATTGTTAGGTATTTCAAACTCACCTTATATTAATGCTCATACAATTCGCCAAAGCAACAAAAAATGGGAAACAATATTGTTAATATGCAAACAACTGTGGTTAGATCAATTCACATAATGCAATAAACAAAATGCATTGATGTTAAACACATGATATATATGCAAAATTAATGCTACATTATGATTGGAAAATAAGGCACAACAGGAATTTTTTTTGCATATTTCTACAAAAACCTAAGTTAGATGAAAGTTAGTATTTGCAGAAGAAGATATCTCTTTGGTACACTGTACAAAGCCGTCCTATACATAAACACTTTTGCCAATAACTTAAATATTTTCAACAATTTAAATACTTAGCTACATATGATGACAATGCTACCATTTGGGCACTTGCACTTTACCAATCTAGTCCGAAATAAGTCAATGTGGCATTTGAATGAGCAAAAGCACTTCGCGCCGGGATAATGTTTGCCGAAAATTTCGAATTTCACAAAAGGCAAAATTTTCCAGCCAACTTCTGATATACGGCCAAACGCCACAAATACTGATTCGCAAGAGTCATTTCAACAGTATTTGTATGATATTTCTTGCCGAAACCTCATATGTTTCAATACTCCGGGGTGTGCACTGGAGCGTAAATTGTACAACAATAGGCCGTGCACAACGACCAATTCAAGATAGCACACGGTCCGCCTCCACAGACTTCACAGACTTTGTGTGTGTGTAAGAAAGGCACGAGGGATTAGCATGTTTAGACGTCACCCGGAGGCGAGTCGAGCAATCTTAACGTCTTAACGCGTCAGCCGTGCCTTGTGTAGAAAAACAGCCAGTACATGTTATCACGTCCTCCGACGCGAACTGGTTGACAGCCGATTTTGTGCTAACAGAGCCTCCGTCTATTTCATAGAGACTGTAAGCACAGCAAAAGTACGCTTAACCCCGGAGGAAAAAGTTGCTTTAATTAGTGACGTAACAATAGAAATCCCCATGCACGCACAACCGTTAGCACACTATGAAATAGTGCTTAAGCTCAGCAGGATTTTCTGCCATAGTAAGCAAAACTTTTCTCCTAACTAAGCAACACAATGACATTGGGCCCAGAAGTAAACCGATCTAGAAGTGCTTCTTGAATAAAAAAAAAAACCAGGGGGAAAACAGCACAACTTTGTTTTTGATATAGATTTGATTCTAATTTTGATCTGGATTTCTTGACATTGAACAAAATTTCAGATACGTCATTTTCCCCAAATTATGGCTAGAACCCTTTTCACACTAGAGCCTCTGAACCCAGGTTGAACTCAACCCTGGGTGAACCCAGTGCCACCCCGAGTTGAGTTTTTGATTTTTCAACCCCGCGTTCAACCCCGCATCGTTTCACACTTGTTTCATGCAAATCAAGTTTATCATGCTCACTTACTACTGTTTTGGACCCTGGCAAGAATTTCAACCCCGGTTGAAAATCTCAACCCTGTTCTGGAGCAGGGTTGAGTTCAACCCGGGGCGAAATCAATCTCGGGGTTGACGCAGGGTTGACGCAGGGTTGAAATTCTCCAAGTGTGAAACGATGCATGTTTTCAACCCTGCGTTAACCCCAAGATTTGTCTAGTGTGAAAAGGGCTGATGCGGTTTTCTTCCAACCACCACCCCTCTCTTTCTCACATCATATAGAGTAATAATTCAGAAACCTTGTAACTCTGGGATGTTGTAGTACAGGTCCAGTGAGCCCGGGTTAGCGAAGGCTCCACGTTGCTGGATGTCTTCTCCTGAGATGATGCGCTTCACAGCAACCTCCACCTTCTTGCCATTGATAGTATACTTTACACAAAGAAGGGAAAAGTATGATCACTTCGGGCTTATGTGTTAGAAATGAACTTGCCTGCTTTGTCTGTTGACTGAATTTGACTAGTCACAGTGCTTGCTTGACATATGATCTGACTGCTGGTGACTAGCCTTTGTTAAAAGTATAGCAGGGGAAGTGGAAGTGAATTTTGACTGTCTGTGACTGCTTAAATAGCAGGAGGATTAATATAAAGGCATCCTGTCACTGTCTTCCTACCATGTATAGAGCATACATGCATGAAAAAGTAGCATAGTAAACTGGAATGCAAACTGGAAGACTGCCACAGCCTGAAAGTATGCATCATCACATATGGGTTGTGCAGGATTCTATGACTTTCCCATGACTTTTTCAAATTTCAACGACTTCAAATAATAAAGAATAACAAACTTCGATGACTTTCCATGATAGCTTCAAAGTGGGCACGTGTGGTCTAGCGGTAGAGCACATAGCTCATGATCGTGAGATTGTGGGTTCGAGTCCCGCGGTGACCATGCATGTTGTGCCCTTGAGTAAGACGCTTTACCTCAATTACTCCTCACAACCCAGGTGTTCATTGGGTACCGGTGTCACATGAAAATCCGACTCCTATGAAAATCCGACTCCATCACTATTACTGGTTAATCCCTCACATGTGACAAGTCACTCTCCTATACATAGGCCTATAAATAGGCTATTATCATACTTATGCATGCGCAATACTACCAATGAGTCCATATTTCATGGAGTCAGATATTCTAGCTTCACCTGCATTATTCAATGCTGGGAAGGTAACAGACTCGCTGTGGAGGAGGCGTGGCGATCCCCCCACAGCAGCATATGAGTCTGGCCCAATCACTAATGAAAGAGGGCACTCCATTTCTGTGAACACAGGTTCATTCCCTTCTCCCTTCAAATCCCAAAATTTTCTGGGATTTTTCCATGACCATGGGAAATTTACCGGGATATCCTTGGTCTCCAGGATGACCTCAGGGATGTGCCTGGCCGACAGCCCTGACCTGATCGCGACCTTGACCCTCCGCACCAACTCCTGGCTGAAGTCTCCCTCATCGGCCATCTTGAGGAACAGCACCACGCGCTCCTCGTTATTAGCGCTGCGCTGGGGGACACACAGACTGTCTTGAATCTCCTTAAAGTCTTCGACTGGTGGAGAACAAAGAAATAAACTCAGAAATCAGACCATGCAGGGCACAATTACAGCGCAGGGTTTTTCGTATCATTTTTTCTTATGAATATTGTCTCAATAGGTCTTACAGTGGAATATGTTCCCAACTCAATGTTCCCCCACTTTCCCGCCACAGAGAACAATTGTGTTCCGTGTTTGGCAAATCACTACTCACTTCCCACAAATTCAGAGACTGGCTGCCCCCCCCGATTAGGAACAATGGGGTAAGAAACAATGATCATCTCAGCACAATACGCTGTAGGACTAACAGGTACAAATGCAGCTCTATTCCCTACTTAACTGATCTGATTAACAAAGATATGTGACCTCTTTTTCCTAAGTTGATGAAGGAAATCGTTGTTGGTCACAGTTCCTGGTTAACTTATTTGTGGGTTGGATATGTATGAGTGTATAGAGCTCGCTCAATGACGGCCATCTCTGTGGGAGGACTGCGACTGCGTATTTTACGCAGTCGGATTTGAATGATTTTAATGTTTATCACTTGTGTGTATTTTGTTGTAATTTACCTTTTTAATGTATCTTTCACACGGTGCTCTGTAATTTTAATATATAACGATTTTTAATGTGTGTAAATTAAACTGCAATTCGGCCTTTTGGCCGTGAAAGTTTAAAAAACTAAACCATTAATAATAATAATAATAACAATTCCTTGGCTCTGCTAGGCAAGGAATCTTCACTATCGCAGAAAATAGGGTTTGTGTTCTAGTTAAGGTTTGCGGTAATACATCAAGTTTTCAACCTACCAGTTCTTTTCAGAACCACACATCTTCCCAAAAGAGATTTCTACGTGGTGTTACCGCAAACCTTCACTACTAAGTTTTCAATCTTACTGAGGGTTATCGTTAGTGTGAAGTCCAGGATGTTAAATAAATGTTAATGTGTTTTCAACTTCAAAATCTTGACCAACAGTTGGCACAATGCTATCATCAAGGGTTAAACCAAAAAGTTAAAACAAAACGAATTTCAATGTTCATACTCAATTTGTAGATGTCTGCACTTCCAAATCGTACACCATTGGGATTCAAAGTACCATCACTGGAAATAAAAAAAGATTATATGAAAGACTATGAACCAAATATTAAAGGTAGAGTACATCATTTGTCATTTGTGCATTTTTTTTCGTTTGAAGCAACAAAAGTGCTCAAAATCTAAAGAAGGGTGCTTAACAACTAACCTGATGAAGTTTTAGCTCAGTGAATGCAGTATATTCCGAGAAAACAATATTCTAGGATCTCGATTTCAATCCAAAAGTTGCCAAGTCATATTTATAAATTACGCCCGAAATCAGCGTCTGGGACACGTTCTCATTCAGCCAATTGCAGCTTCGCGATGTCACACACTGAACCGACGAAACGTAGCAACTGCGCGCACGTGCGTCGTGTCAACGCTTGCGCGCACCAGTTGCCGATTTAATAATGAATTACTAACGGGAATTTCCAAAAATGAGCCTTTAGACGCATCTTTGGAAATGACCTTCTTTCATTGTTTTCTTCAAAATGACAGCATGCCAGAAAGAATAATTTCACAGGGAGTTTAGTGCCATTACTATCTTTAAACCAAGTAAGCTTTTCAATGATAATTTTGTCAGTTACTTTTAGGTAAGCTGCAAATGATGTACTCAACTTTTATGGTTACTGAATAATTCCATCATTATTTCATAACAAAATCTACACTCTGTTTTTCTGCATATGGAAAGAATGACGCTGACTTTCGGTTTGTAAAAAGTATAGATGAAATTTCCTCGTGAGAGAAACTTGATCCAAGCGTAATAAGGAAGATTTCAGTTCTTACCTTCGTCCTTGCATAATGATACCGCCAGTCTCTGGATTGATCATGCAAAAATCACCATGAGCCCAAACACCTGTATTTAAAAAAAAACCAGCAGTTCGTTTGTAATCTCTTTACAACCAAGAATCAAGGAACAACATTTGCCTATGAATAAACAGTTTCTGGAGATCCAAGTATTTATCCTAACCTTCCCAAATCCTCCAAAATCCTCTCTGCAAAATGGAGGATTTTGCTGGATTGAGGCTACATGGCAAAAATGTGTAGCAGATTTTACAAGATGCACTGTGTCAAGGTCTTGGGCCGGATCTTGTGTTGTTTATGCTCAGCTGTGCATAAATGTAGGCCTTTATTATACTTGAAATCCTCCGCACTGCTCCGGGATGTCACTGGCTCTGGCTCAATAAATTGACAGTGATTGCCGGAGGATTTTGCAGGATTGAGGCAGTCTTTTAATGGCACACGGAACCCATAGCCTGCCGTCTCTGTGATGCAGGTTCAAAACCAATTCAGGCTCACATGATTTCTTTAGTCCATACCTAAATCTGTGGGTATTCAACACAATATTTTTCGTAATTCTTGCGGGATTGGTTGCCCTTCACTGACTTATAAACTGAGTATACAGTGCTTATACGTAGGTGAAGGGCAAAACCTAATATTAAAGTTACATCACCCCGACGCAAATTCCATCTTATGAATGATCCTATATGTGACGCAATCAGGCTACATGAGTCGTTTGTCGGGAATTTTCATTTGGAGATTCAGGCCAAAGTAGGGCCACTCCATCACATTACTTCATCACATTTCTTGGTGTTCCGACTTCCATAATTTTTGAACTAAAGATGGTACCAGCATGCGGTTTACACAGCAGCAATGCTGAGATTGTGCTCTTTTCAAATCTGTAAAAAAAAAATTGACCAGGGTCAACTCTTTTAGCTTGATCGCATCACATATGCCTTTAAATGAGAACTATTTCTCTTTTTTTTTAATCCACACCAGCCAGGACAGTGTAAGATCAATGATAGGAAAGATATACACTCGGTTTTTCAGGGTCACCGTTTGACAACGAGAGGGAGTAAGACTACCCTGGCTAACCAACGCGGCTGTAAGCTTGCTGATTGCGATATTTTAGAATGTTTGAACAATGGGTCTCATTCTAACACTGACCTGGATATTTGCAGAAGTATGCTTTCTTGTACTTGACTCCGTCTGGGTCGTTCCAGAAGTGCGTAGGCATGCTGGGAAATGGCTGAAGACAGATGAGCTCGCCGCTCTCATTGTACACAGCCTTGCCTTGTTCAGAAACAAAAATCCTTTATTTCATCAAAAAGAAAGGACCTCACCAATGGGGAAAGATTGATGTCAACAAATTTGCCAACAGACCCCAGGATTTGTTCCCGGTCACTGGGCCATCGCAAAGTCAAGGGGGGGGGGGGGGGGAGGGGTCCGGAGGCTGGACACCATCGGATGATCTTGGACACTATTGAACAATAGATGGCGCTTTTCATTGTGGTATATTTGCGGACAGATACATGATTTTGCTGACAGGACGATGATGTTGCAGACATAAAACAAAGGGGGAGGGGTTGACACCCCACCATCCCTTAGCTATGCGTGTTAATATAAGTGTTTGGTTTTAACCTGTAACTTTTCACTAACAGTGACCTAAATTATGAACAACTCTGTTCTAGCATTTCTAATTAGGTTGGACACAACTTTTGACTAGCACATCAACAAAAATGAATCTACACATGAATTGATGAAGGATGTGACTTTGCGTTTCATTTTGCAAACGTTTAGCAAGTATTTTAAGAACAATTTAAACGTTTAGCCATCCACAAAGGCTGACACCTGTCCATCATATCTGCAGACCGGTGTGACTGACATGATAAATCAACAATGGCTGACATAGTAAATAGTGGGCAGTCATTGATAAAGTAAAAACTTAACTCTGTGTACCTCGAATCAAATGTAATCAAGTACTGCAGTGCTTTCTAAGGTTTTGTAAATTATTGAAAAGTTGACTGGAGCGGGGCTTGAACCTGCGACCTCCGGATTACCAATCCGGTGCTCTACCAACTGAGCTATCCACCTCTATGTTGGCAGTTCCCCAATTCATCAATACTTTGTTCAAGGGGTAGGTTTGAAAACATCTTTAATTATTTGTGCTTTTCCAAAAAGGTTTCGTTTACATGTTTTGGAAAATTTGTAAATGGATTTAGAATGCTTCGTTGAAACGTTTACTATATATATACTGTTACTTTATTGGGACTTTTGGAATGGAAGATGAATTTTGGGTAATTTTTGAGCGGTGTCTTGTGTACCTTCATGGTTCCAGCATTCTATAGCCATGCCCAGGTTTCGGCTTTGAAGTTCCCCTCTGTACACAGGCACCGTGGGATTCTGGCCGGCAAAGCAGGAAATCAGATCTGTGCCACCTAGGAAACATGTATCCACGTTACTCACAGTTAATAAAAAAAGTTTGAAAATGTTTTTTCGGATAATGTGATTAGAGTCTTGACACGTTGAATGCGCACGTTGAATGGGCAATTTGAATACGTAAGTTGATCCTGAAAACTGGCAAGATTTTGCAAAAATTAAACGATTACGCCCTTATTTTTAATTTTTTTTTACAACCCCTGAAACAAATGATATTTCCCAAACTGGAAAAGTAACCATTTTGAAAAAGGATCCCTCCACAACATAGTGCCACTTTCCAGCACCCAATTGCATCCATAATGCTCAGAATTGGAAGCCCCAAGTCCAGGCCAAAGGTGCAGTGCTATGTGTCTTCAATTCCCCAATTCCATGGCTCTCAGAACTCTCTAATACATGATAGTTTCAATGTATAACTTTTATTCATGAACTCGGCGGACAGATACTCCTCTCAACCCAGGGCACCCAGCGGGTTCTGGCTCTGGGTTGTCTACATACCTGTGATTGATCCAAGCAAGAGATCAGCCTTGATCTTGGAGTAGACATAGTCATAAGAATTTGGAGTCAGTGGTGAGCCCGTAGAAAGGATGGTGTGTAGGGAGGTCAGCTTGTGTGTGCTGCCTGGAGACAAGAAACAACAAACACATAAACATTCATGGTAAACACACAAAAAATCACGGATATTTGAAGAGGAACGATTTCAAGAAATGATAGACGAATATCAGTTCGAAACAAACTTGTTTGCAATAAAATTTCAATAGCTGACTTCATGAAAATTGCTTAACTTTCACTTTCACGTAGAGAATGACATTTGCTTTTTGAGTAACCCCAGCACAATCGATAGAAAAAAATTACTGCAACCTCTGGCAAGAAGTTATTATTGGAAATCACATATTAGGCCAAGTTCGCGCAAGGACTATAGTTGACCAATGGTTAACTAACGTTTGCCCGAACTCTGCCTAGTCGACGGTGGTTGACTACGCTAGTCGACTATTTGGAACCAGCCTACTGGGGTTGGTTGCTTCGCTGGTAACCAATAGCCACGCGCATTCATAACGCTAGCAGAGAGCCAGGATCCAGAAGTTTTGCGATGACATTTTGACCAGCGTTTGACTAGAGACGTTCGCACGTTGCTACCAGTGTGCAGGCGTAAGTTACGTCACAAATCAACCACTAGTCGACTAACGGTCCTTGCCCGAACTTGGCCTCAGATGTTAGGGGTGGGAATGCCTTGAAAAAGGATAAAGGTATGATTGATCGGCTAGTGAGGAAAGTTGAGAGGATGACGGGGTTGTGCTTGCAGTCGGTGGACTCTCTGTACCGGGAGAGGGTGATTGGTATGCTCGGTCGTAGTTTGGACGACGAAAGCCACCCACTGTGCACTGAGCTTGCAGGTCACATTATTCCCAGAAGTGGAAGAATGAGACTGCCGGCTGCTCGCACCAATCGCCATCTTCACTCTTTTGTCCCAATGGGAATTAAATTCTTCAATGCCATTTTTAAAAGATGAATTTTGTTTTGGATGACTAGACAGTGGGTGACAGGTACAGGCTTCTCCTTCACGTGCAATGTTTTTATCTGGTATCTGTAAATTTTAACAAATAACTTTGTATTCAGTGTTCTTCCCTTTTGATAAGCTTTGCGAGCATTGTAATTTCTTCATCATGAGTTTAATACAGTTTTCTTATGTCTTATGTCTTACATCCAACAGCCAACTAATAGGGCAGCGTTTTGGTTCCGCATTGAAAGGCAGGATTTGACTTTTGTTCGTTTGTTATTACTTAATGCATGCGCAGGCCTTGACTTTAAGGCCCATCTCAATTCATATCCGGACGAGTTCCGGACATTGTATTGGGTATAAGTTGCAGGATTCTGAACAACTTCCCCGCAATCTTCCCGCAATGAAGCAATCAGTATTGGTGAGTCAAGCAGTTGCTAATGAAAATTTCCCCGGAACATGTCGGGGACAAATGCAGAGCTTCTTCCGGACAAAGTGAATTATTCTACCTGCAACTTGTCCAGAACTCGTCCCGGATACAAATTGAGACGGGCTTTTAGGAATGTGTGGTTCCACCTCTAAAATGGCGTCTATTTTTGTTTGCTGGTTTAGTCTATATATTTCAGGGTTTTGCCCTGTGATTCCGTGGGTACATGTATTTGTCCAAATCTTACCAGGGTGGACTCCTTTCTCATTCAACACTGACAGCCACTTGGCACCGGTCCCAAGAATGCTGATTCTAGAAGAAAAAAAGAGTGTTTTGTTGTTTTGTTCAGCAACCAGTCTGCTAAGCAGAAACTATTGCCGAATTCACAGGTAAATGCGGCTGTTTTACCTCACATCAAAATGTGATGTGCCATACAAATGAACCCCAAGTCACAAAGAGATTGATAAAGCCAAAATGTGGCCTCCAAGGGATAAGATTAGTCCTGAGAAAATAAAAAATCCATGAAATAATCGAAGAGGGTTTTAGGGTCACCGAGGGCCCAGAGCAACGAAGGGTATATGCCACCCTGTAAAGGCACCCCTAAAATTACCATTTCTCTTGTTCTATTTAAACTTTTTAAGGTAAAACGCCTTTAGGGTAAAACAACAGGCTTTCAAGATTCAAAATGTATTTTTTGAAATCAGGAAAATCCTGACAAAAAACTCTGAAATCAGAAAAAAATCCTCACAAAAATCCCCGAATCAGGACAAATCCTGACAACAATCCAGAGAAATCTCCTGCCTCCTTTGGAGGAATGAATGCCAAATTTCAGTTGAGCAAAGAAAACTGATTCAAGAAGGATATGAAAGTTTAAACCTAATGCTGGACTTCACAGCCAACACTTTACAATATCATCAACTGGAAAAGCACTTCTAACACAAGGGTTCAAATTCTGCCTTCTCAATTTTGTTTGTTTGATTTATAATGAACCCAGACAGTTTCCCCTTGCAATTCATATGATGAACATTCAAAGGAATAAGAAAACGAGTTCAGTCCATTTTCTATGTTCAACTGAATAAAGATGAACCTAGCTAGTCAGTTTCCCCTTGTTTTTTTATATTTGATGAAAATTCAAAGGAATAAGGAAAAGCTAACTCACTCCAATTGGTCGACCAAATCCCAGAGCACATCGGGTGAGGGAACCAGTGGGGAGCCATCATACAGCACCACCCCGCTACCCACGGCCAAGGCAGATACTAACCAATTCCACATCATCCAACCCGTCTGAACACACAACATTCAATGGAAGATACATGTCAGATATCAGATCAAAAAGTGCTTAGAACGGAGGTAAGCTCGACATATGCCACCGCCAAAAATATAAATAAATAACAGGATGTGAGATATAGGGAAAATGAAATATCCACAAAATAATTGAGGGTCGCCGATGGCCCAGAGCAACATACGATCTATGACCAATGTTTTTGCCTAAGGGTACCCTTTAAATTACCCATTTCTTTTGTTCTACAGGTTGAGTAAAAAAACACACCCCAAATGGCAGGACCAATTTTTGAATGAAGTTTTGCATGTAGCACTTTCAAAATCTAGGATATGAAAGCCCAATCAATGAGCTTTCTTTTAGTACAAGAATCATTCAAATCACTCATGTTCTTTTCAAGTTATGGCATTTTGACCATAAACACTGTTTTAAAGTCGTGTCCACGGATCACCAAAAGGTACATGTTCTTTCAGCAAAATGAAAACAATTCACATGCATCCCTATGAGAATGTTTTTTGTTTTGCTGAAAGAACACTTACGGTATGCTTTTGTGATCTATGGACAGAACTTTAAAACAGTGTTTGTGTTCAAAATTCTTTAAAAGTATATGAGTGATCTGAATGATTCTTGTACTAAAAGAAAGCTTAATGACTGGGCTTTCATATTCTAGAGTTTTGAAAGTGCTACAGGCAAAACTTCATTCAAAAATTGGGTTGCCATTTTGGATGCGTTTTTTACTCAACCTGTATATAAACTTTATAGGTATGGACACCTTTACGGTAAAACCTCACAAATTCCAGATTTCAGAAGGTGGTCTTTAAAATTCCTGAAATCTGGAAAATCTGGACAAAAAATCATGAAATCTGGAAATATCCTGACACATCTCACCCCTAAAATAAATGTACAAAAATAAAGATACCACACAAGCAACAAGGTAGTTACATGTTGATCAACAGGAATGTTGAAATTGTGCATGTATTTCTTTTTCTATTTTTCGAGTTTCCAACAATTTTGAAAGGTTAAAGAGTAAGGAATTCGCTGTTCTCAGAGACCCAGCCTAGTCCCCTTTGCATCACACTGACTGACTGACTGTCACTTGTGAATTAGACTGGTTACTAAACTCACTCATTTTTCAAAGACTATAAGTGCAAAAAAGTCCAGTTTTAAGCTGTGATTTCAACTTTTCTTCTTTTACACATGAATTTTAACGTACAACTAACTACAAGTGTTTAAATGTCCTCCAAGTGCATCAGTTGTAATACATTTGAAACAGATGAAAAATACATCAACTTACTGTTGTGTAGTAAATAATATTATCTTTCCTTGTCATGTTGCCATGGAGAATGTGTTCTTTCAGATGCTGGATCAGAGTTCCCTGTAACAAAAAAGGAGAAAGTCTGTCTCAGGTAAATCTGCCTTATCTCTGGTTTCCTTAGCATGAAAAACGACTGAGAACATTTATACCCCCTGGATGGGATCCAAGTTCATCACAGGTTACTCTTCAACTAATGTCTGCCCTCATATACTCCTGGTTCAGTGGAGAAAGGCAAGTTGGGGTGAAGTGGCTTGCCCAAGGACACAACATGGCCAGCGGCTCAGTTTGAACTTTTGCTCCTCTGATCATGAGTCACAAATTATGCTGATGACCACTATGCCAAATGCACCCCCACAAAAAAACTTTTCTTGTCATTTCAGTGTTTGAACGCTGTTAAAGCTACAGTCCATCATTTGTAATTTGTGCATTTTGTTCGTTTGAAGCAACAAAAGAGTTCAAAATCTAATGAAGGATACTGAGCAACTAACCTGATGAAGTTTCAGCTAAGCTTCAGCTGTACATTCCGAGAAAAACAGCATTCTAAGATCTCAATTTCAAATCAAAAGTTACTGAATCATGTTTTGAATTGTTTTGAATTGCAGCTATACGCGACGTCGCGCACTGATCCGACGAATTATAACAACCGCGCGCGCGTGTGCGTCGTTCCAATACTTGTGCGCGCTGCGCTGAATAAAAAACGAACTACTAATTTAAATTTTCCTACGGTGCTTCTTAAGAATCACCGTTGGAAATGCCTTCTTTCGTTTACTTCAAAATGACAGCTTCCCAGAAAGAATAATTTCACAGGGAGTTTAGTTCCCTTATTATCTTTCAACCAAGTATGTTTTTCAACAATAATTACGCCAGTTACTTTTCGGATGGTTGCAAATGATGGACTCTAGCTTTAACCAGTTCGCGCCGGGATTATTTTGACATTGACCGGACCCAGGTGCAGGATTGTTTTTCACGAACCTCAATGCCAGATGGGTTCAGGCCGTCATCTGTGGGTAGCACACCCTGATATTTCCGGCCTTGCTTGCTGCGAGCGGGTTGCAGACAGATATTTCCTGCCTCGCTCGTTGCGTGTTTTTCCATCATCCATTCCGATTACTGCAAAACCGTCGCGTGGATACACGTCATCCGACGTGAACTGGTTAATTTTGCTTTTAATTTTGCTTTTAAGACATCTATTCAGTGGCATTGCAGTTCGCTTTTTTTTTAATGATCTGTGAGCATCTCTTGTGGTTAAATTCACAACTGCTGTTTATTTCTTACCCCTGCGGAGTGCACCATACACTTAGGAGCGCCGGTCGTTCCAGATGAATACATGATGTAGAGAGGGTGGTTGAAGGGTAGCTGTTCAAATTCCAGTTGGGGTACATCGCCACTGTCGGCTACTAGGCCTGATGCCAGGAACTCAGATAGGAATACACTGCGGATTAAGAATGGCGGAAATAATAACTTTGCCGTATCTGAATCTTGCTTCTCTAAGCAGTGCTGGAGTCAAGTGCTTTGTCAAGGGTATAATTTTTGTCCACTCATCTTTGGTACAAGTAAAAACATGTAAGAAACTAAAAATCAATCCAAAACAAAACTATTTTCGCACAAAATATTACATTTCTCCTTGCCTTAAAAACAACAGTTCACAGTACCACTTACATTTTGCATAGACACAAAGTGCCAACATGACTACCTAAAATTCATAATTTTTGCCAAAAAACACTGAAATGAAAGGTCTTGTTGTCCCCTTTCATTTGATACCACATTGGAGATTGTGATGCTTGCATTTTTGAAGATTTCATAAATTTTTCATTTTTTCAGCCCTGTCCACATTCTCACGGTGGGTTCATATGGGTGCAGACCAGTATTAAATAGACCCGCAATTGCCTACACCGGCCAAATCACGATTTGCATGCCCTCAAATTCTCCGGTATTAGAGCATTTTGAGGGCCGTGAACTTGAGGATTTGTAAACAAGAAAAGTGGAAAATGTGCAGAGGACAGGGAGCTTGTATTTCTGTGAAATTTGGATGAAATTAGGCCCTAAAATGGCTCTATTTTGCAATGGAGTATAGGCATCCATTTTCAAAATGGCCATGGGCTTCAGGACTGTTTTGAGGGATGATTATGTTTGGATGGAATTTTCTCAAAAAGTCATTGGTGAACCCCCCCAAAAATGAAGGGGAAATGAAAGATGCTGAAATAAGCTTTAATTTGATGTGTGTCTCCAACACCTTGGAGAGTTGTGAGTATTTTTAATAATTTCGGGAAGTGTGTGTAATTATCACTGAGGTCTATGGCAGTCTATTTACTGGTCTGCAACCACAGATGTTTGAACAGCACCCCCTTGAGTCATATGGTGTCCAGCCCTCCAGGCCACACCCCCCCCCTTTTTTCCCCCAAATTTCCCAAGCTTCTAGACCCATACGCCCATAGCTGACAAGAAACTGCCGTTCCTGCTGTTAGGCTCTATTTCATTATCATGGCCTCACCGACATGAAAACAACTGTACAACTTCTTAGGATTACATAATCACCTGTTGGGAATGTTGGAGATGTCTATTTCCGTCTCTTTCTTGACGTACGGGATGACCACCACTCTCTCGAGCTCCGGCAGTCCCATGACCACTTGCTGCAGTTTCTTGTCGTGCGAATGCGCCTTGCCGTTGTAGACGACGGCATCTACCGAGAAGATGAGTTTGGGTTGGATCTGCTTGAAACGGTCTAGCACACCCTGAAAAAGAAAACAGACAATAACACGAGTCAGAGTCTAAATGTTCTATGGTCATGTCAAACTAGCAAAGTCGACCCCAATAGATCTTGCTTTCAGACAGTCAAGCATTGTTTATCGGTATCCAGACTCCAAACCGGTCTTAAACAGAGTGTTTAAAACCTCCCAAGCACACATTTCGTCACCGTTTTCGCGAAGAGCCACATATGTATGTCAAAAATTACAATTTTTTCGATTTTGATTTTTTTCAATATTTCGCATTAAAACAATGTACTTAACCATTTGGACATGTTTCTGTAAGCAAAACATCATTAATTTCTCAGTTACATTAATGTTTCAAGGGGCAGAAATCTCGATAAATGCATTTTGCGTTTTCACGAAGAGCCACATACATTTTGGCCCTTTGAGCGTGTACAAAACCCATTGCACGGAAATACGTAAAAGTAGGTCAAATGAGATTTGCGTTTTCACGAAGAGCCACATATCTTTGTTACATTTTCAGCTTCGAGCGCGTACTCACGCGCGCCTATGGAAATACACGTTGAACAGAAAGGGCCAATATGTCGGAAACCTGAATTTGCGTTTTCACGAAGAGCCACATATAATTAATTTCCACTAATTAACTGCTGTATTAAGTCTTATTACCGGGTTTATGTAAAACTTCAGCTCTCGTAGAATCGTGTGATGGTTTCCTTGCTGCACTAAGTTGTTGCAAAGTAGTATTTCTTGCAGTTTTAAAATATGAGAAACTTCTTTTGCGATTATCTCGAAAAACACTTTTCTTCAAAATCAACATAATATATATAGTATGTGGCTGTTCGTGAAAACGGTGACGATTTATTCCGTTACTAATACTGTATCATGTACAGTCAAAAATCAATAACAGGAACAATTTCACGACCTTAAACAAACAGATACACGAAAATGGGAAGCCATTACCATGATGCCAAAGTCAGGTGATGTTGAGCTCCATATAGCTCCGATGCTGGCAGCAGCTAGCATCGCTTCTATGGCAACGGCACAATTAGGGATGTAACCTGCAATCAGAAATAGGAAAATTTACACACACAAAATAAGTTGAAGTCTAAGTATGTTTATTGTGAATCATCCATTTTCTGGTAATGATATAATTTTCCGAGAATGATATAAGAGACAAAAACTGCTCAGACAAAATTGGCACAGTTGATTTTAAGCAGACACAGTACAATATCGGACTGAGCACAAAGTCAGATTGTGAACGTTCAACCAATAATACGGTAAAAGGCATCAGATTTCATAGGATTTCACTGCAACAGTGTTAAAAGGGAACATGAAATAAAATTTTGATTGCATTTTTTTTGCTTAAATCAATAAAGGATGATGTTCTTAACAATATTTTGTGTATGGCGCTGTTTATTTTCTAAGATAAATGGGGGAAAATAATTTGTGAACATGTTTGGTCAAACTACTCCGCCCCACAAAGGGAAGCTTCATTAAAATAAAACTTCGCGAGGGGTATGACGCAAGCGAAGGCAGAGACTTGCCGCGCTGCGGGGGCACCGGCATTGCGGCGTGCATCATAATACATGTACATATACATTGCGGCACTGAAAGTTTTTCTGGTGTTTCGTTCGGAATCGAGGAGAAATAACACCCAATTTTCGGCCATGCCGACAAGGTGTGTGGCTGCTGGGTGTAGCAAAACTACCAAGGATGGAGTAAGCCTTCATTTGTTTCCAGTAAATCCGAAATATCGGAGCATTTGGAGAGCCAAAGTGAAGGTAAATACCAGAGCAAAGTGGTCCGGGCCCAGTGAGTTCGCGGCCCTCTGCGCTGCACTTTGAGCCGTCGTGCTTTGATGCTGGTCTGTACAGCAACTTGGGCATGCCCCTAAAAAAACATCGAGTCAGTGTCTGAATCATTAGAACTCTGATTTGAATCAGACGAATCTGTACCATTTTCATCGGATTCGCTAAGGAAAGAAGAGGACGGTCTTCGGAACTTTTACGGTCATGACGGTCGTCGTTGTGTTCATTCGACAACGGTGGCACAGTGGCACGTCCACGTGTACGTGTGTACTGTACATATCCCATGTAGACACATTCGTACGTGTGCATATAATGCCACGTACGGGTACGCGGCGGCTGCACACAGCACAGTAGCTTCGCTAATCCGTCTCGTACCCAGACGTCATTTACGGGCCCTGGATTTCTCTGCCTTTGTTTATGTCATGAACAGCGCCCTCATTTGGAGTTGCCGCGAAAATCAAAAAGGGGGGGTTCAATTTTGGACGGCAAATTACCACACTAAACGTACACCAGAACCAGTTCTGCTTTTAATTCACATTTAATACACATAAATGAATGTATATATAAAATAAAATACGTTATGAAAATTTTGGACTGCATGTTTCCTTTAAGACCAGCCAGGCCCATTTTCATGGCTCTGCTAACCACAGAATTCCGCGCTTACGATCACCATTTTGTGCTAACCGCGCTAGCAGAAAAACTCTGTGCTAACATTGTAAGCACAGAATCCTTACATGTAGTTACGGGATGTACGCATGCGCAGAAGCCAAAATTCCAGGCTAATGCGTAAAATACGCTTACCGTAAGCACGGAATTTTCTGCTATAGTAAGCAGCGATTTTTTGCTAACTGTAAGTAGAGCCAAGAAATTGGGCTCAGCCAGCTGGTCTTTATCATCCGTTTAAGACCGGCCACGTGACAGGCTCTCGACCAATAGGAATGGGTAAACAATCTTAGGTATTTATGAATAACAACTAAAAGCTTTTGTTGTTGTTAAAACCTATTAATTACCTACGACTCTATCGCCAGCATTGATGCCCATGTGTTTCATGGCTGCAGCCAAGATGGCCACTTTGTCCCTCAGCTGCTTGTAGGTGATGCATTCCACTCCCTGCTTGCCCTCAGCTGAAACAAATTGGAACAAGAAAAACGCTTAAAATAAAAATTGGGGGGAAAATAGAAATGAAAAAAAAAGATCTCGGGGCAAAGATCTTGGCCATCGAGTGACAAAAAATTGTGAAACTCGGTACATGCATACAGCAACTCATCATGAACATACCCAAGAAATTTAATGACTATAGGTCAAAGGGTTTTGGAATTAAGGCTAATTAATTAATGTACGAATGGTAATTGTGCTCTGTGTACACGACGTATATGGGAAAGCCCAGTTTTCTTGACGCGTAGTGCCGGCAAATGTTTCGCTGCGCGGAAACCCGTGGTCCGATTTTTATGTTTTTGGTATCAAAAGATGTGCAAGGCTCGAGGCTAAAAAAAGTCATAACAGCTCGGGTTGCGGGAAAACATTTTGAAGGCTATCGCCGAAAAAGTTGAGGGGGGGGGGGCAGATTCCGCCGGCCCTTTTAGGGTTAACTTGTACCAAAGATGGGTGGAAAAACTGTAATGCCACTTACCGACATTTATAAAGCAAGTATCGAAATATATCCCCCTACAGATTTCATGATTTGTAATAACTGTAATGGTAGCATATGACTTACAGTTACACCCTAATGATGTAAGGGCACTGAAAAGATTTTTCTAACAGTGCACACTATTTGGAAACTTTCAAATGCAAGGTATTTAAATTTTTATCATAACCTTTTTTTTTGTAACGCGAGTTACCGTTAAAAATCTTACTATCAAACCAACAGTTCACTATATTTTTGGCCTCTTTTTTTGGTACTTTAGTCATTTAACTTCAAGGGATTTTCCGTGAGAAAAATCTAACCTCAATGCTTTGACTTTCACAGAATAATAGCCCAGAGTTAACAGAAGACCCTGTTAAATGTAACACGAGTTACCACAGCATTGCCCATGCAATAGTTCATTACAAACTATACCCAATAACACATAACATATTCTGACAGGCATAATATGTGCATACATTATTGATCTATTCTTAGCCATTGTTTGTTTGCACAGGAGCATCTGTAGCTGTGTGCAAGCAGCGACGTGCAGCTGGGTAGGCTTTCAGATTTCAAAATCAAAGGGCTACATTAAAACGCCACAATAACAAGGTAGCTCTCTGTATCAAGTTGTTAAGCGTTAGAAATACGCCATGTTTCTCAAATGTCAGTCTATTATTCTCCCTTTGTTCCTGAGAATCTTGCAGCTTTAACTTTTTTGAGAGAAATTTCAATCTATGACTCACGTGTATTTTAATCACCTCAAATTACATGTGTAACACCGCTGATTAAAATTTAGGCCAAAAGGAATAATAGTTCTGCTTCCGGTTTCCCTACCTACCCTATTCTGACAGCCCCTACCCTAATTTTTTTTTTATTGGAAAAATGAGGAAAAAACACTCAAAACCATCACTTTATACCTTTTACCCTTGACTACATGCAGACGCCTTCACGTGATCATGCACAAATAAAATTGGCAAAAAAAAAAAAAATTCCCTACCTACCTACCCTATTTTCGATGCCATTTAATCGGAAGCAGAACTATTTTTTTTTTTTGGCCTTACCAATGGCACCCAGTTTTGCCTTAAAGGGATACTGCGTTCTGGAATGCACCCAATTAGGCTACAAAATGCACTTTGAACGAAATGCTGTTAATCGGAGACTATCCTTCAAAAACTTGGTGTTCTTGTGTATATATGTGTGCAAGAATGACTTTCGGGGTGCACTTGAATCTCAAAAGGTCGGGCTGTTTATGCTAGTTGTGATTCCAGCTGTAAAGTGTTCGCCTTCTGTGGACGTGTAAGAAACCACATTTGTGCATTGGTGCTGTGTGTAATGTGTGTGACATACACAACGTGTATAATCGTACATTGACTGAAAACGACAGAAAAAAATGTATGCGTACTCTGTTGTGTCCAATGTAAACAACCGGTTTTTGTTGTCTTTTCTCGGGAACGGTAAGACATTAAGTTGGTTTCCTTTGACAAGATGTTTAAAATAGGATTTAAGTAAACACTCCAAAATTTCAGGACGCAGTGCCCCTTTAAAGCATTGAGTGCATCCATTGAACCATTTTACCTGCTTCATAGAGAGCCACTCTCTCATCTGTGTAGCGCAGCAGATTCTCAGCAAAGTTGAGTCTACTGCCTGCGAACCATTCTGGAATGTCAGAAATATTCTTCTCTCTGTCTACAACCTAAATGGAATAAAACATTGAAAGAACAAATAAACACAGTTAATCTCTAAAGCCAAGAGAACTTCTCCTTAGTATGAAAAGTCAACTATAAATTAGAGTGGGCCCCAATGCCTGGCCTTAGCAAATGTTGAATAACAATAATACTGTTCAACAAATTTGCATGACTCAGAACTAAAATGATAACTGGAAAGCCAAACAAATTAATATACTGTACTATATCAACTTTTTCTGAATATTTCTATTTAGCATGCAAAGCCTTACAAGTTTTTAAGACTTCTTACATGTTTTTAGTGGGTCCTAATCCCTAATGCCTTGGCTTAGCAAAATTCTTGTTGAACCATGAATAATATCCATCCAGTTTTGGGACAACCCCCCACCCCAAAAAAAAGAACACTGAACATTATTTTCACCGTTTCCTGATGACAAATAGAGCATACTGTTCGAAACATCGAGTTAAACCAACTGGTTCTTCTCAGAACCACATACCGGTAACTCACAATTTTAGAGATATCATTCACATGGTGTTACCGCAAACCTCCCATTCATTCACTGTTATTTTTTGTATTATAATATTTTTATCTGGAAGTTTATGATAACATCTATGAACAGAACCACTGCCTGGTTTGCATGATATTGAACACAAGGGTTCAATACTACACAAGTCGTCATTAATGGAGAGATTTCGCAAGATTTGATAGGTCATCAGTTTTTGTGGTCTTGTGTCATCATATGTGATGCAATAAGGCTACATGAGTCGTTTGTCGGAAATATTTCATTTGGAGATTCAGGCCAAAATAGGACCACTTCATCTCATCACTTCGTCACATTTCTTGGTGTTCCGACATCCATAAGTTTTTAACTAAAGATGGTACCCGCATGCGGTTTTCATAGCAGTAATGCTAAGATTGTGCTCTTTTTAAATCTGTAAAAAAAAAAAAAATTGACCAGGGTCGATAAATGACTCATTTAGCTTGATCTCATCACATATTTAGTATGCAACTTGTAATCTGCTACTAGTGCACATTATGTACGGATATATCACGCACTGCGCGTCAGTGTGAAATGCAGAGTAAATTGTCAATTTTCATCCTCTTTTCTGGAATTGTTTAATCATGTATGATTTTATTGAAAGCGGATGAATTGCTGAAAATATTACGTGAAACTTTTCTCCGTTTCAAGGCAGGATTACTGCTTATTTATTACAATATCTAAGCTACGTGTACACATAAACTGTACAATGTGCATGATCTAAAACACTGGAATGATCAATAACGGTTGCGGAGAGCTAAATGTATGCATAGGCCTACACGTATACGTTCGGATTAATAAACTGTCTATTAGAAGAGACTTAATGTCATTATAAATAACACACACAGCCATAATTACATGTACCGGTAGGTAATGTTGGACTTCAGCATTCCATTAGGAATTTTAGCAAAATGTCCGAGGTGTTAGGGTTAAAGAAACACTGTTTAAATGGTACATGTACCTGATCATAACTTTTGGAATGGACAATGTCAACAAACTTCCAACAAGCCTCCCAGAAATCTGCGTAATTCTCAGTAGACCATCTCCATAGTTCATCATACGTTTCTGCAAATGACAAAGAAAGATTATAAACAAACTAATCTTTTTACAAAATAACCTCAGTAAAGTAATATTTACTGAGATTTTGCATCTGAATCTTTATTTTTTACTTCAGTTAAAGAAAAGACTGTCCATTTTTTCCCTCTAATTTTGAAAATATAACCTCAGTAAAGTAGTACTGAAATTTTTTATTCGAATCCTTATTTTTTACTTCAGTTAAAGAAAAGACTGTCCATTTTTTTCTAATTTTCAAAATATCTGCAGCTAACCTTCTTCAGATTTTATTCTGTCTGTCAAAGTATGTTTATTTAGGACTGTTACTACGGTAGATCCTTATTGGAATATAAAATCTCACACGGAAACATAAACTGCTGGTACCATCAAAACAAATTTCATGCATACCAGCACTTTCAGGTATTACATGCATAATGTAGTCGATTTTATGGCCGGAAATTCTCCTTTGTAAAAACATGCTGGTAAACTATTTGGATCTTGCAAACATTTGGAAATAGCCAAAGTTACCAATCATTTTGATCCCTGTACCAGTGGAAAAAAACCCTGAATGAAAATAAAAAATATACAATGAATAGTAAAATATATTTAATATGCAAGCAATATGTAACACACAAAATTTCTGGGATCAATCCAACAAAACGCTGATGAAAAAATCTCCAGTTCTGTTAAGAGCTTTTGCAAGCTCTTTATATCAGTGCAACACAATTTTATTTTAAAATTTTGCAAACGAATAAATAACAAGACTGCCAGAGACAAGAGTATTTTTCAATGTGTAGGAGTGCATACATGTACAAAATGTACATGTGGATCTTTTATCACACATAATGAAAGCGAAAGCAAAATTGGTTGGAGTTGAATCAATAATAACTGGCACATCTGTTCCTGAGTACGCTTATACAAGGGTTGTTCAGTGTATGTTGCTTTTTAATATGCTGGCAGGCGAAAATTTCAACGACAACCAGTATCAAGTTATGAGGGCCCGGTGCCTGCAATGTGCATGATGGATATCTTTAACTACTTATCAGAAATGGAATTATTCCTTTGATAGCAATGGGAAAAACAAAACGAAAAAAAAAGGTACTACTGGTTAAATAATGGCCAACAATGACAACTGAAAAACCAAAATTCAATTCTTTAAAAGCAGACGTTTCAATACATTTTCCCAATGCTGCTGAAAGTCAACTTCTTTAAAATTCCTCTGCATGTTTGTGTGTTTCGTTTTTTTCAGGGGGTTGGATATTTCAAATGTAGGTCAAGTAATCCTTCTTTTTTTTAATTGTTTACTTTTTCTTGTATTTTTAATAAAAATATTTGGCCTTAATAAAAATACATTGAACATGTTCAACAGGAATATTTTGAATCTACTTTACTAGGAAAGCTAATTAAAAGCTGGCGGTCATTTTGAACCGAATAGGGTGGCCATTTTGAATTTAAATACTTGGAAGCCATCTTGGAAAATTTAAAACCCCCCAAAAAAGACCTGTAGTACAGAGAAATTTATTTTGGTGTGATTTTCCAATTTTATTTCGAAGTGCACAGTAAACTGTTTACAAATGCGCCCAAAATTAAGAAAACAATTTTCTGACAAACTTCTAGTTGGGTATGAAAGTAGAGATAATGATGGTTTATCAGAATTGTTTAACTTTAAAAAAAATTCTTAAATGTTAACTGGAAAGATTCCCATATCTGGCCATCACTAATTTTTCACTTCAGTGACCTCCATCTGAACAGTGATAATATGTCCTAAAAAGTCAAAATTAGTGGGGAAAATTTTTAAGTATTTACTGAGAAAACACTTAGAAATTTTCAGACCAGTCTCATAGGGTTTGTGTACTGGGTGATAAGGCCAAAAAAAAAAGTCTCCGGTTTCTGGTATGCGCACGCGTCGCCGTAGCCGTGCCCTTCAGCAAAATGAAAAAGTTTTTTTTTCAATGAAAGATGATGTCTCAAAACCGCCAAACTCACTGGTTTGACTGGAATTCTGCTGCTGCGCAATTTCAACGTGTTTTTAGATGGGTTATGATCGAGAATAAGCTTTATGTGGCCTCTCTGGACTCCCATATATTTGCACTAAGTTTAGTCGGGCACCATTTGCAGTCATCAGCCGACATTTGAAGCAAAAAAGTCGGGTAAAAAAAAAAAAAAAGCCGCGTCGCCGCACCACTTTTTGGACAAGCTCCATACCAGAAACCGGAGACTTTTTTTTTTTGGCCTAGTGATGGCCAGATATGGGAATCTTTCCTGTTAAGGAAAGATTCCCATATCTGGGCATCACTACTTTTTCCCCTCAGTGACCTATCAGCCATCAGAAAGTGATAATTTGCCCTAAAAAGTCAAATTTAGCAGGGGAAATATTGAAGTATTTACCGAGAAAACACCAATTTTCAGACCAGTCTCATAGGGTTTGTGCACAGGGTAACAAGTGATGGCCAGATATGGGAATCTTTCCAATTACTATACCATTACCACCGACAATCAAAAGACAAAAAAAGTTGTTCAATTTGCAAAATATTTTAGACAAACCAAAAAACAAACATAACACAAACCTAGCCTTAGTTTTATTTCCAAAATACAAAAGTTAGCAAATGACAAAAACAAAGTACTTAAAATTGTGCACAACTGACTTGAACATGTCTATGTGTCAGCAAACCATATAAGGCAAACTTGTGGGTGTGACACCCCGTCCGTCGTTGTGATTGGCTAGCAGCTCCACGGTTCAGTGACTGCCGTAAATAAAGAACAGTCACCCCATGAGTGGCGTGATTTCCAACTCCAACTAAAGAAATCCCTTTCGCGTATTCAATGACGTTTTATTTGCAGGCAAATTTCCCCGAATTCCTAATTGAAAGCCGGATGATGGAAGAACACCATTTTAAAGGGAATAAGGTTTGAAAATCTGTTTCAACAAAATTAACGTAGGAGCAAAACAACACGAGAAAAATTGTCACCGAGTCACTTTTTTTTCTCCAACTTACCGAGTTTCAAGTTGTAATTTTGATTCACTTCTTGACGAAATGCATCCATATTTGTCCGTTTTTTGCGATCAGGAGTCCACATGACCTTAGCGTTGGTATCATCCTGCCTGTCCATTGTAGTAACTTTGGATTCTGAACTTTGTTCCGAGAAAAAAGAATTGTTTGATCGCTGGAGGAGCAAAGTTGTCGAGACGTTTACGTTAGCGGCTAGCTAGCTGCGCGCTGCCGACGCGATGTATGCGATATCGCGTGTTCGAGATCGCATCCCGGGGACACACTAAATCAAACGACAGCGTGCAAGCAGTGCAGGTACTATACCGACAAATCTGTAGAATCGAATCACGCGCAAAGCCGAATTGGTATCAGACTATAAAAAATACTGTAGTCCATGGATTCAAGAAATTATCGTTTTCGTTGCTACAGGGAAAATCAACAGAGGGCGCACTTTCATATCACTGGTCTGTGTTTTCGTCATTTCTATTTTTGATGCGGGTGGATTGGTTTTGTTTCACCTTACGATTACGAATACGAGAATGTAAAATTTTCCGTCGATTTTGACAGATATTTCTGAAGCATTTCGGATTGGAAGACATCAAGATTTGGTAGATATTTGGCTGGACCATAAAGGCAATTGGTAAGCACTTTGTTCGGTGTTTGAATGAGACAATAACCATGAATGATATTGATAACTCAGTTGTTTTGAATTTGAAAAACCATTTTCCTTCATTTTGTATTGTCATGATTGCATAAAGCCAGGCTTCTGTTATGATTCATGATTTGGAGACTGAGTGGAAAGAATATTGGAAAGAATATTGTAACCTGACGCTACTTTTTTCTTCAATGAAGGTCAGTAATCGCAAAAATGTTGATAAGACATGAATCTGGGTAGTGGGACCATGGTGGGACTGAAAATCATTTCCACTTGACTTAGTCAACAATTTTCCTGACTCTCCATCTGCAGTCATAGACTTTGTTCACAACCGCTGAAGTGGTGTCAGGATGCAACATTCTTTCCAGAATATTAATTATAGGCTTTACCTAGCCCCATAAATGTGGCCTATTTACTGGACTGCCTCCGTAAACATAGGCCACACATCCACACATGTACAAAAAACGTGTCGACTTTGCCAAATTTTGATTTTCACATTTAGGCTTACTTTGTAGATTTTTTTGCTTTAGAAGCATTCTCACCCTCTATATAGGCTAATCAGAAAGTGCTGCCTTTTTCAGATGTTTAATTTTTTGTGAAATTTCATGTTGAAATTTTGATACGCAAACGTGTGCAAATGTATCTGGAAATTTCACAAAAAATTAAACATCTGAAAAAGGCAGCACTTTCTGATTAGCCTATATAGAGGGTGAGAATGCTTCTAAAGCAAAAAAAAACGTAAAAAGTAAGCCTAAATGTGAAAATCAAAATTTGGCAAAGTCGACACGTTTTTTGTACATGTGGATGTGTGGCCTATGTTTACGGAGGCAGTCCAGTAAATAGGCCACATTTATGGGGCTAGGCTTTACCATGCATGACCATGGTGTCATGCAGTATGACGTTTGTGATTGTGGCATAAAAAGTAGAACTGTTTCCATTTCTAATTGCGAAATCGAACTTCATTTTTGTTGGTTTGTTTTTTTGTGTGTTTGTTTTTGTGTGTGTTTATTTTGTTTAGTTTTAAATGTATTTATGTGCCTATCAAATCCCCCCCCCCCCCCCTGCTGCCCGAGGTCCGATGTTGGGGTTTGGTAACGTTATTCTAGCCCCATAAATGTGGCCAATTTACTGGATGGACTACCTCCGTAAGTAAAGGCCACACTTTGAACTAGTCCGAAAATTTGGGACTCTCAATACTGTATGAGAGTCCCAAAACTTAAGGTATTGAAAACATGCAAAACAAGAAAATAGACTGGCACCTGAAACACCCAGTCCAACACAGCTTCAGTACTGCAACTATCAACCATGCCAACAGAATTTAAGAAACATGTGGCATGAACCGGGAACTAGTCTCAATTTACTACACATTTCTCCATAGTCAAGCCACCAGACTATTGACACTGAATGAAGAGGTCAGTCTTTTCAAATAGTTGGATCATGGATGGACATGTACCAGTCTAGTTTTTAGCCCCATTTTGAAATCACTTGACTTCCCTCTCATGTGCAAAATATTGAAGAAAAGTCTCCTTTAAAAATGGAATTGAGTCTGCAAACTTGGTTGGTGAAATACTGAGGGCATTTTCTTTGCCCCAGTGGCATTTTTTGAGAAATTTGCTTGCTAAAGTGTGAGTAAAGTGGGCCTGATTTAGTTTTGCACGTTTCAGAGCACTCCAGAGCCTTGTCTGACTTTGAACATGTACCCGAAAATGTAGAACTTGATAGGTCATTGATAGGATAGGCGAATTATTTTATAGTACCATGAACTGGTCCCTCAGTTATTCCCCTTTTGTACCAGCACGTCCTCAGTACACGTGACCAGTGTTTGTTTTAAAATTTTCTCTCACACACAGGCAAGTCATCGAGTCCCCGTGTCCTGACTGGTAGTCCGTCCATATAATGTACAGTAGTCATAGCTACCCATATCAGTTGGGTAGTAACCAACCACCGCAACAGCCTGCACAGTACAGCTCCTTCACACCGCAGCCGACCCCACATTACCCCCAGCCCCAGCCCCCTCAGTACCCCCAGCCCCCGTCCCCTCAGCATCCTCCCCGCCCGTCCAACGTCCCCCATCACCAGTCACAGCCGGAGCCGCCCCCCCGCTATACCCCCTTCACGCCCGTGGATAACTCGACGGTCAGCATGCCGCTCCTACAGAGGCAGGAACCAGACCCGACCACTGGTAACCAGGAGATCGGGGACCCGCGGTTTGTCTTGCTGTGGAGCATGGATACCGAGGAACTGCAATGTCTCTTGGACAACGAAGAGAAATTCAGTGAAATGGTGACCAACATGGAGGAGGTACATTTTACTGGGTGGTCCAAAAATAGTTTACACATTTTTCGATGTAGATTTCTTGGAATTGGGGAGACGTGTTAAAATTGTTTCAAGATATTCCTTAAGTACAACATCTTCATGGTATATGGTGAAAACGGCGCTGAAACTAAAACCTAAATGGCATTGTTTTAAAGAAAGATGGTCGAACACCAGTTTGTCTACACGCAAGTCTACATACATGTATACATGAGATATGGTCAACACAATAGCAATGCATGCACAAAGAATTGCAATAATTGCAATTAGGTCTACATGATTGCCCTAGAAGTGGACAAACTAGTTTTTGACCATTCTTATGTAAATGGCTGCTATTTCTTGAGCTTTATTTTCAACACAGTTTTCACCATATACCGCCAAGATCTTGTACTTTAAGAATATAATAAAACAATTCCAACCTGTCACTTTTTTGAACTCTTTGTTATCACCAGGCTTTTTGTTCACCCACCTGAGGAGTGTAGTATTTTTTTAAAAATGCATGTAAACTTGTATCTTGCATGGATTATAGGATTTTTCGTTCAAAACAAATTTCTATTCAGAAGCATTGACAAGTAATGCTTGAATTGTGAATTTCTGAAATTTCGTCACAGATGATGAACCCAGAAAGTGATGGTTCGTTGGGTTTTCTTGCATTCTGTGCATGAGCTATCATGATTCAATGTGTATTGATGATATCGGTACAACAATTAATTGACAATCAAAGTATGCACAAAGACTACAAGTAGGAAACGTCAACAAATTTTGAACATAAGAAAGAATTCAGGAAAAAAATACTGTGTGAACAGCCCATTAACTTTGATGATTAGACACTGAATTAGCAGTAGAGAAGGTAATTTGTCATTGGTGTCTATTTTTTGTTTGAAGCAACAAAAGTGTTCAAAATCTAAAGATGGGAGGTTAGCAACTAACCTGATGAAGCGTTAGCTCTGTGAATGCTGTATATTTCGAGAAAACACGATATTCTGGATCTCGATTTAAATTCAAAAGTTGCTGGGTTGTGACACAATCCCGAAATCAGCATTCGGGACATGATTCTCATTCAGCCGATTGTTGCTACGTGATGTCACACACTGAATTGACCATTCTCGCTAATAATTAATAGCAACTGTCCCCGGTGTGTGTTGTGTCAACGCGCTTGCACCCAGTCACGGATTCGCCCAATCACAAACCAACTGCCAAAGAAATTTCCAAAAATGTGTCAATTGACACATGTTTGGGAATGACCCTCTTTTACTGTTTTCTTCAAAATGACAGCATGCCAGAAGGAATAATTTCACAGGGAGTTTAGTGTCATTACTATCTTTAAACCAAGTAAGTTTTTAACAATAATTTGGTTGGTTGCTTTTTAGATGCAAATATTGTACTCGACCTTTAAAATAGATGTACATGTACTGGTACTTTATGTGGGTTCTAATTGACATGTACTGTACTTTGGACTTAAAAGTTTATGTTGTCTTTGTTGTTTTCTATTTCACCAGTCATGCCATTGACTATTGAAACTAAGCAAACAGTTGATTGTGTGTTTTTTTATTTTATCTCTCAACAATTTGTTTTTGTTTCTTGTTTTGTAGGTGAAGCAGAAAAAGTTGGAGAAGGAGATGTCAATGGCTGAGAACCGTAGCCTGGCCGAATTCAACCTCTCGAGGGGGCCCCGCCTGAACGAGGGTCGGTCACAGTTCATGACACGCCTCCATGAGGCCCACAGACTCAAAGATTCCTATACTGTGGGCAAAGCCAAGCTCGGTAAGCACTTACAGTAACTCCCTGTGCAAGTTGTGTTTTAACCTTCTGGAAAAATTCAAAATCCAACTCGGTGCAATATAGATCCCTAGGCCTTTATACTTAAAGGGGCACTAGGTCCTGAAATCCCCAAAAATTCATGTTTTGGATCGTTTGCAAAAGGTGAACACTTTACGGATGAAATTAACTAGCACCCAAACAGCTCGATGTTTTGGGGTCGCAAAAGTGGACTCCGAGAGTCGTTCTCGCACGCTAATACAGGAATAACAGAAAAAACACCCAGTTTTTAAAGGATAGTTGTGTGGATGTTTATATCCTACCGGTATTTGTAAATGTTCTTTCCGATTAACATCATTTCGTTCAAAGCGCATTTTGTAGCCCAATTGGGCTGTTCCAGGATGCAGTGTCCCTTAACGTTGCCTGTCTGTGTTTTTGATCAGATTCAGTGAGAGAGCAGAATTCCTTGGACACAGCACTAGCCTTGATGCAAGCAAGCACAGCAAACGCAGAAGAGGAATCTGAGGTAGGCATGGTGTGTTGAACTGAGTTCAATTCAAAGTGGAATTGAAATGGGAAATGGATGTGAGAAATGACAATTGGGGATGTCAATTAGACATGGCGCATGACCAGTAGCGCATGATTTACTGCAACTTTCTCGCAGTGAGCATTAACCCTTTGCCAAAGTGGAGGAATTTGGAGGGTTGAGGTTACATGGCAAAAGTGCGTTACTGATTTCATAGGATGCACTTTGTCAAGGTCTTGGGCCGGACCTTGTGTGTTGTTTTTGCTCAGCCATGCATAAATATAGGCCTGGATTATGCTTGAAATCCTCCATACTGCTCCAGGATGTCACTGGCCAAGCCTCAACATATTGACAGTCACTGGCGCAGGAATTTGCAGGATTGAGGCTATATGCTATTTTTCCATGAGGCCAATTGCAGGAATTTGCAGGATTGAGGCTACATCCTAGCAAAAAGGCCTAGGGATTTAGGGTTAATACCCATAGAGGATATTGTGCAGAATACTTGTGTGAACTCATCATCTAATTTTCCTGTGTAGCTAATCAGCATACAAAAGAGTCTTATTCGAATATCTTTCGATTGTGAAGTATGGGAGAAGAAAACCTGTTTGTTCAAGACATGAGAATTCAAAGCGTTCTCGAACTGAAATGCCAAAAGAAAGCTCTTGCTTAATAAAGTAAACTAAAACCGTGCTCATTTTTGGTAGTGACTTTCCAGTATCTGATAGCAGATGTTACCATTTACAATTCTTTAGCTACAAAAAAATCTCACTTAAATACCCAGGAAAAAAACACACCTTCTGTCATCAACATGTGCGCTACCAGTTTGAACAAGTCACATGATCATACGTATGCTGCGGAATTGTCCTTACGTCTAGGTGACATGAGCATGGTTGTGATGATTATGTATTGAGATGCTGCTTGTTCCAAGATAATCACACAATTTCTAAATTTTGTGACCTGAGCATGACTTTTGTGCTTGATGCCAACGGTTCAGTCGCAGCACAAGAAAATCGCAGGTCGAACTGAATGTGGCTTCATGTTCAAAAGCATTTTAGCTTTATGGTCATAACATTGACAAATGTTCTGATTTTCCCGTTGTGACTTCCGTAGGAAGTTGCGGATGACTTCCTGAAGGGAGACCTGACATTGGAAGACTTCCTAGACAAGTTCATGCCCAAGAGGCAGACGGCTCACCTCCGGCACATCAAGGCGGAAAAGATGCAGGAAATACTGAACCAAAGACAGCGTGCTAGTTCTACTGCCTCGTCCCATCAAGGTAACCTTAGAAGTTCTCCAAGTTAATCACATGTCAGTCACGCGTCAATCACAAGTCAAATCTAAAGTCAATTCATGTGTTAATCACATGTTAATCACATGTCAATCACATGTCAATCACATGTCAGTATCAAGTCAAATCTCAATTCAAATCATGAGTCACACTTTGCAAGTACAAATCAGTCACAATTTAAATGACAAGTCCAATCACAAGTCCAGTCTCAAGACCAGTCACAAGTCCAGTCACAAGTCTAGTCACAAGTCCAGTCACAAGTCCAGTCACAAGTCCAGTCACAAGTCTAGTCACAAGTCCAGTCACAAGTCCAGTCACAAGTCTAGTCACAAGTCCAGTCCCAAGTCCAGTCACAAGTCTAGTCACAAGTCCAGACACAAGTCCAGTCACAAGTCCAGTCACAAGTCCAGTCACAAGTCCAGTCACAAGTCTAGTCACAAGTCCAGTCACAAGTCTAGTCACAAGTCCAGTCACAAGTCCAGTCACAAGTCCAGTCACAAGTCCAGTCACAAGTCCGGTCACAAGTCCGGTCACAAGTCCAGTCACAAGTCCGGTCACAAGTCCAGTCACAAGTCCAGTCACAAGTCTAGTCACAAGTCCAGACAAAAGTCCAGTCACAAGTCCAGTCACAAGTCTAGTCACAAGTCTAGTCACAAGTCTAGTCACAAGTCCAGTCACAAGTCTAGTCACAAGTCTAGTCACAAGTCCAGTCACAAGTCTAGTCACAAGTCCAGTCAAAAGTCCAGTCACAAGTCCAGTCACAAGTCCAGTCACAAGTCTAGTCACAAGTCTAGTCACAAGTCCAGTCACAAGTCCAGTCACAAGTCTAGTCACAAGTCTAGTCACAAGTCCAGTCACAAGTCTAGTCACAAGTCTAGTCACAAGTCCAGTCACAAGTCCAGTCACAAGTCCAGACACAAGTCCAGTCACAAGTCCAGTCACAAGTCTAGTCACAAGTCCAGTCACAAGTCCAGTCACAAGTCTAGTCACAAGTCCAGTCACAAGTCTAGTCACAAGTCCAGTCACAAGTCTAGTCACAAGTCTAGTCACAAGTCCAGTCACAAGTCTAGTCACAAGTCCAGACACAAGTCCAGTCACAAGTCCAGTCACAAGTCTAGTCACAAGTCCAGTCACAAGTCCAGTCACAAGTCCAGTCACAAGTCCAGTCACAAGTCTAGTCACAAGTCCAGTCACAAGTCCAGTCACAAGTCCAGTCACAAGTCCAGTCACAAGTCTAGTCACAAGTCCAGTCACAAGTCTAGTCACAAGTCCAGTCACAAGTCTAGTCACAAGTCCAGACACAAGTCCAGTCACAAATCTAGTCACAAGTCTAGTCACAAGTCCAGTCACAAGTCCAGTCACAAGTCTAGTCACAAGTCTAGTCACAAGTCCAGTCACAAGTCCAGTCACAAGTCCAGACACAAGTCCAGACACAAGTCTAGTCACAAGTCCAGTCACAAGTCCAGTCACAAGTCCAGTCACAAGTCCAGTCACAAGTCCAGTCACAAGTCCAGTCACAAGTCCAACCACAAGTCCAATCACAAGTCCAGTCACAAGTCCAGTCTCAATTAACAAGCTTTTCGATTGATCTACGACGAAGACATTTCTCTATATTTCTTCGTCATTGTTCTTCTCGGTACTTGTGATTTGACTTGATTATTTAACTTGTGATTGATTCTTGATGAACTGTTTTACAACACAGGCATCTCAGAAAACTTTGAACCATCCCCAGCGCAGATGTTTGTAACTCGATTCCATTCAGATGTTGTCAAGAGTATAAGAAATATGCACATCTCTCCTGCTGAACTGAGCAATGATTTTGAACAAATATTATGCGGGTGCTTCATTCCATGTGGGACCCGAAACACTGTTCATGGGAAACCATTGTTTCTTTGTTATATTCAATGACCCCTTGACTATCTCTTCAGGTAAAATTTTGGAAGGGTAGCCTTTCTAAGAGATTATGTATGTCATATATGGTACCCCTATGGTGGTGAAGAAAGTTTACAGTAAGTATTTGTCATATGGTAAGAAGCAGGGTTGGGCTGAAGGTTTTACAAAAGAAGAGACACATAATGCCTAGTTATGAAAAAGTTACAAAAAAAGAATTTTTCATTAATTTCTGTATCTTATGTATATTGCAGTTGCTGCCACTCAAAATTCCTCCATGCCCCCTTACGGCAGCCCCCACCATCAGCAACCTCAGACTTCAAGCTACCAACATACTTCACATGGTAACCCGCCTTACGGTTACCAGCCACAGAGACCGGCTCCCAGAGCGCCCTACCCAGGCCCAAGCTACGGACCAGGGGCGCCGTCATCAATGCCAACGCTCGGATCCTACCCGCATTAGATGCCTGTCATCTTGTATAGTGTGCTCAGAACTACAGCTAAGCTCAGGTCAATCTGTGATTCGCTTGCGCTGTGAAGTTGCGTAGTCAAGTTCATTAGGCCAAAAAAAAAAAGTCTCCGGTTTCTGGTATGCGCTCGCGTCGCCGTAGCCATGCGCGTCGGCAAAATGAAAAAGTTTTTTTCAATGAAAGATGATGTCACAAAACCGCCAAACTCACTGGTTTGACTGGAATCCTGCTGCTGCACAATTTTAACGTGTTTTTAGATGGGGTTATGATCGAGAATAAGCTTTATGTGGCCTCTCTGGTCTCCCATAATATTTGCACTAAGTTTAGTCGGGCACCATTTGCAGACATCAGCCGGAGTTGAAGCAAAAAACAGGTGTAAAAAAAAAAAAAGCCGCGTCGCCGCACCACTTTTTGGGCAAGCTCCATACCAGAAACCGGAGACTTTTTTTTTTTGGCCTTACAAGTCTTCATCAGTCCTGACGAGTCCGTCATAAGCATAGAGCTATATTAAATTTCTAGAGCGCTAACTCTTCATTCTTGCGCACGGAGATGCTTTGAAGCCGCTCTGGGCGCAGACATTTTGACTTTATGTGCGTGTTTGTAGAACACAATCAAAATAGATGGATTGAATTTTTAAAAGTGCACTCTAAATGCAACGCGCAAGTAGAAGATACGCAATCATGACGGTTTCAAAAATCGTCACGGTGAAAAGCATCTGCAGCAGAGGGACGCGCACACGTTGCGCTGTTTGCGTAGAGCAAAACGAAACGCTCATTTGCTGATCGTGCGTTTCGGTTTTGGGCGTATTGGCTTCGATAACGCACCGGTATGGAATACAAACACAGATATGCAAATAGCCGTACAAAAGCCGTACAAAATTTTGAGTTTTCCATAGGTTTGTGCACAAACATGGATGCGCCCAGCAGGCATTACTTTGTACATCGAGTTAGCGCTCTAGTAAATTAATATAGCTCTATGGTCATAAGTCATCCAGTCCCAGTCCAAGTTGCGAGCTATTCAAATGCACTGTACAGAGGTATTTCTTTGTTATTGTTCATCTGCTGTTACTTGTGAATTGTCTTGTGATTTACTCGTGATCCGACTCTGTGATGTGCTTGACTACAACACTTTGTGCTGTAATGGTATACTGTCGGTATCAAACTCAAAAAGTATGTTAAAGGGAATGTACATCATTGGCTTTCGCTGTAATTTTCAGAAATGAACTAGTTGAAGGGTTAGTATAATAGATCAAAATATTGTTACACTGATATGTTTGAAGTGTTGTGTCCGAAAATGCTGGAAAACCAAGAAAAACAAAAATGTTCAAGTAGTCTGGTTCCCTGACTCCACTAAAGATGAAATGGATCAATTATTTTTAGATGCCAGAAATTGTAAGGTAAAGGAACCAGTCTAGCTAGCCTGCACCCGTTCATGAACATGCAACCAATAGCAAACACAATTTGGACTGAAACAAATGGTAAATTTGGAGTAGTAGTTGAAAAATAGTTAGGTTTTTCCAACGGTGGTCGGCCGACCACTTTTGGAAATGTATACAAAAATACCATTTTCTTGAAAATGACTTGACACCAGGTGCCATAATTTTACAGGATGCTTAAGACTGTCATTTACCAACATACAAGTAAGGTTTTCGTAAAAACTTGGTAGTTTTACTTTTCGATGTTTGCACATGTTGTATTTTCCCTTTAAGTCACAAAAAGTTGTAGCAAGATTGACCTGAGCTTAGCTGAAAATGTTTAATCTCATGTACTCGTGTTCTAGCCATGCTTTCACAACACCCTTTCCCCTTTGCAAAAATATCATCAGAGAGCTCCCAGATCTTCCAGTAGTGTTCCCCAAAAGCCAAAGCAGAGAACAGGGAATCTTGAATCAAATTTTGAGAATGCTTAAAAATAGCATGTACAGCCTGTCTAAAAAAAAATGCTACAATCAGAAAAAAAATTGGTTAAATATGAAATTTCAAAATAAGTCGTTCTTACTTGGCATAATATTAAAGAACAAAGACTGGGCTTTCCAATAGTGTTTGTTTGATCGTATTTGCTTTTGTCAATTCAGAGATATAATCAATTTAGTGCGATACACCAAAATCGATTTTGTGCCACTTATATGCATGGGCAGAGTTGTTTCGAGTACTGTGCCATGCTGTCTTGAAGCTCACAAAAGATTGCAACTTGGCAAAAGAAACAAACTCGATTTTTGTGTTCCGCAGTAAACTGGAGTTATCTCTGGATTGACAAAAGCAAATGAGATGAAACAAAAAGTATTGGAAAGCCTGGTCTTTTTTTCTTTAATGTGTTGCTCAAAACGACTTACTTATGTTGAGATTTAATATTGAAAAAAAAAAAATCGTTTTCGATTGTACCATTTTTTTTTGAGACAGGCTGTATAATGGGCACATTTCTATTTAAAGAGGTTGTGGAATGCTGAAAGTCGTTTTGTTTTTTATATTTGTTTTATTGTAGAGTAGACCCATATATATCATAATGACAAAGTCCCATTCTTTTGTAGTGTGCGTTTATATGTTTATCAAACTGAAATTCATTGAGTAATTTGTTGGTCGGCGAGCGCATAATTGAAATCAACAGTCGTCGGGTTCTTCGTAAAATGAGAAAAATCGTGACGTAATACACAGGACTCGTTTATACTACTACTAAACAATTTACTATGTTTTGTTTGCTGCCCCAACGACGACTTTTACACAAATTGCACGTTCGGGTCGAAACAGAACCTGAAAAACAGCTCTCAAAAGTACCTTTTGTACTCATTTCATGACAGACACAATAGCCGTTTTTATTTCATCACATCTTAGGCTACATATACCCGAAAAATGACGGAAATGTCTTCGAGCATTCCACAACCTCTTTAATGCACGAAGTGAAAGCTTTGAAAATGGGTCAGCAAAACAAAATCAATCACGTGATTGTAAAATGAATTTGGAAAAAAAAACGCACCGAAAATTGGAAAGAAAACAAAAGATGCTCAGTATGTTCAAATGAAATACTTCCTATTACCACTGTCGGTAATAAATTATGCATGCTGATTATGTGCACATACTGACAATGTGGCCAAGTTATGTAATAGGCGTATGCCAAGGCCCCACACTTTCTGCTGTGTAAATAATTTTTGTCATGGGAATTGTTTATAAGTAAAACCTTATCCGCTACGCAAAAATTGGTATCTTCTCAGCAAATTCCAGCAGAGAACCAGGCAGGAGCAAGGGCGGATCCAGGGGGGGGCCAAAGGGGGCCATGGCCCCCCCCAAAACGAAACCAATTTTTTTTTTTTTTATGTGACATCGCAATAAAGGCAGGCAATGAGTACACCACCATCTTTTCCTCAAAAAAACATTGGTTAAAGTGGTCAGAAATTGCCTCAGATCGCACCACAGAGCATCTAGAATCCAAAAATTTTTCGGGGCCCTTAAGCGGGCCCCGAACCCCACGCCGTAATTTTTTTGACCCACATTTTTGGGGGACCAAATTTTTTTTGGCCCCCCCGAAAATTGTGTTCTGGATCCGCCCTTGGGCAGGAGGAATATATGTGCATGGCACTTTGGCTGGTAAACAATTTTAGCCTTGATGTTTATAGCTTAGCAACTTTGTATTATAAATGCTTAGCAGCTCTTCAAATTGACCCCATTGCCTGCTAAACCCATGGGACTGTTGGTAGTTTAAATAATGTGAACGTGCTTCAGAGTTTGGCCATGTAATCCTATTTATTAATCTAGTGTGCAGAATTCAGGCGATTCACAATTCAGTGCGCCACCAAGAGTTTGCCACGGAGAGTTCATTTTCCCAGTGCATTGTGGGAGATGGTCGACAAATTTGCAGCGCGGAACATTTGAAATTGTTTGTTTTTCCAGTCAGTAGTTTCATAAGCGTATGATTCGAGTATCTGTTGGCCCTTTTCTTTGCTTTTTATCAATATGGTGTTTTTTTTGTAAGGCGGCAGAACGCTATGCCCCAATCTATAACAAATTTGCTCAAGTTGTCTACCGACATTCATTCAAATGGGCCATGTTTTGAAACTTGAAAAATGGACTCTCCATGGCAAACTCTTGGTGGCGCACTGCATTGCGAATCGCCGGAATTGCTCAGTGGATGTTGTCTACAAGAAGTGTTCATATCAAGAGTTCATACTTGTCACTGAACAATACAATTTGGCCATTGTCTTGCAAGTATAATATACGCTTAAAAATATAAATACATGTACATTAACACAAATTCTTATATCAACTTTTGATTAAAATATTTTTAGAATTAGAAATTAAAGGTAGGAATCTTCCGTGGATATTTTGCAAAATCAATATCTTTCACTTTCGCAGGGGTGTGATTTAAATGGTGATGTACATTTCTTTTTACAAAATTTCAGTCCATGGCATTTGTAATTATTTCTTGTTGAGTAATGTCCTGGATTCCTGAGAGGTTCCTAGAATTATTGTGCATTTATTTCTGAACTAGCCTTCATTTTTGGAAGGTGGCAAATGGACTATTTTTTTTTGAATCGACAGTGATCACAACTCTTTTTGTTGTATTCCACAAATTTGACCCGCTTCACAAAAAAAAGGTATTAAGTCATGCCGTGTATTATCGTGTAATGGCCTGCTCAACGTTGAGAGGGTGAAAATTTCGTCAAAATGTGATTTTCATTTTTTGTCATGAATGACATCTTTATTACATGTACCTAAAGTTTGGGGGTTCATTCACAGAAATGTAAATTTCAATGAATATAGTGTGGAAAAAACCCACAATTTGGAGTGCGTCGTGCCCAAATCTACAACAGAGCCAGCTATTTCAAAGCCTGTTTCCTCAGTTGTGTAATTCAAACTCCAAGGAAGTAATAATATGCACATACATGTACGTCATATCTCCAGAACGGAAGGGGCCGTTGGGATGTATTATATATCAAATGAAAGCTTACATTGTGGGCTTTCCAACCATGTATATAACTCAATTTCACTCATTCAAATACTGGTTCCTTGTTCAGCAGAAAGACTACCATTAGAAATTAAGTATGGAGAGGTTTTGACATTCATTAAATTTGCCCTCAACAAGCTGTTCAACAAATTCAATTTTTTTTCTCTGACTAAATTTTCAAGTTGTTTTATTCGAGACCCCTCTATTTCCCCCGCTTTGCGAGCAGACTTGGTCTCAGTCCGTGCACTATCGATAGCCGATCATGGGGGAACCAGCCTATCCATGACAACAGAATTCTTGTCTGGCTGCAATTAATTCACAATTTGTAAAGTAATAATTCAGTAAATAAACGTGGGCCAATTCAAAGTGAATAATTTCTGTATTGCTACAAACTTAGCCATTTAGAAAAAGACTTCTTATTTTGGATGAAAGTCACAAATAGCACGGGGAATGTTCATTTGTAACTTTAAGAATTATTGAACTAAGTACTTTTAATTAGTCACATTTTGTGCAAAACATCACGAGTTCTGTGAAAGAAAATGAAAGTTGTCTGCAGAAACTATAAATCTTGCAAGGGTTTTGTTATTTAAATTTGTAATAATTCACCAGTTATTGACAGTCAGTGTCTCTGAATGTTCTTAAACCCAGCAGCAGATGTGTGGCTATATTTGTCATTTTTTGTTTAAAGATTTACATGCAGGTAGTGCAAAACAAAATTCTATATCTATAGTCCGAGTTATAAGGGCATGCATCATGTATATTGTGAAGCATACTGTATTTTCATTGTTAATAATATAACAATAACTGTAAATAAAATGAGTATTCCTTGGAAATTCAATTGTTTGTTTCACTCGTATTGTTTTATTTATTAAATAATTTGGACAGCACTTAGATAAAGATTAAAAAGGGATTTGGGATTTTAAAATTCTAACAATATACATGTTGATTTACAAATTTTAAAATGTTTATACATCTACAATGTACGTCTAGGCCTGAATGTCAGTGTGTGCTTTTATATAGATTCTTTGTACTCGGTAGTAATATTTTTATAGGTGATTTTTTTTTAATTCAGAACAATGAATGAACAAGAAGTCTACTCATGTTTATAACACCTCACCCACAGATTCTGTGTCTTGATTGGCCGAGAGCGAGTCACATGACACTTTCTATTTTTGCTATCTTTCTGTGCTCGGCCAAAAGTACTATACCCGTAGCAACCAAAGTAGGCCCTACTATACCATTAGCAACCAAAGTACTATATCCACGGCGCGGTATTTGTGTGCAAAAGCATGCTGGTGTGCGCGTCGCGAGAAGCATGTTTTGTTCCAAAGAGAGCATGCCACACAGTTGGGTTCAAATATTTCGTGAAGGGGTAGTTTGGAAGATAGAAATACATTTTCCACCAATTTTGTATTGAAATTGAAGTTTATTTCAACTGTGTTCAGATTTAAATAATTTAAAATGTTAAAACCAAGCAGAATCTGTGGGTGAAGTGTTATAAAACAAATATTGAATGCTTTATCTCATACTACACCACTCGAAGCATTCAATATTTGTATAATATCCGTGTGGGACAAAGCACACACACCTCCTCGATTGCTACAGTTTGAAGGATCTAAACACCCCCCAAAAAGAAAATCCACACTCATTGGAGGCGTCATAATTTTGAATCTGATCGTCTTACGAGGACGTCATTTATATACATCTTCGGGGAATTTCAGCAGCTACATTTTGATACCCTGTTTGCTACAAAAGACTGTAAATTGTCCAAGATTGACAACGGTTTATGAACAGTTTGAAAAGTTGCAGTTTAAGAGATACATGTACGCGAGGAGAAATTGCTCGGCGTAACCATCACAAATGCCCGTAATTGTCCCCATATCGACTGAACAGTACCCGTACAAAGTGAGGGTTATTCAATTTCATGTGCTCTCATGCATGCAAGCACAGTGGGATCAATATTCCCTGCCGCTCATTTGGGGCAGTGTTATGTCACACAGCAATTTCCACTCGGCTTGCGTACTCTTTAAATTTGCAACATTTTCAATTGCATCATTTTTCATAAACCGTTGTCAATCTTGGACAATTTACAGTCTTTGGTAGCAAACGGGGTATCAAAATGTAGCTGATAGACTTTTCCACGGGTCTAAATAAATATCGTCCTCATAAGACGATCACATCCAAAATTATGATGCCTCCAATGAGTGTGGACTTTCTTTCTTGGGGGCGTGTGTAATTGTCATAATTTAAAAGTTACATGTTATTGGATTTTTAGCCTTAAATAAGCTTAACAAGCCAAGCAAGAAAGTGAAAAAAATCACTCCCCTCGTTTCCCTAAAAATAAGACCCAGTTAAAAAGGTTGTCTCCCCCCCAAAAAAAGCCTGTGAATTTTAGAAACCAACCATGAGCCTGTCTGATACAGACTAACACCATGCTATTCTCAGTTAAACTCATGGTACCAACGCACTAAGCTAAATCCTTTTTGGTAAGCCTAAGGATCTTGGAAGCACCTAAATAGTGTTATGCCCCAACTAGGTTCATCGGTCCCAATTAAAATTGCAACAGTTACAAGCTGGGGTTCCAACTGAAAGGTAAGTTGGGACAATCCCAGCTTAAAGTGGGACAATAGTCTAGTTTAGGCGTAATATGACAAGGTGTAGCACATTGGTAGTGGTTCCACTACACTATGAAATCAGATAACAGATTAACAATGCAATTTTACACAGTTGTGGGGTTTACGTAGAAGTGGCTAATGATTAGATCAAGTAAAAGCTGAATTGACTAACTTGATACAGGACAAATGCAAATTTCAGAGGGTAAAATAAAAAGGTCTACCACTGGTGGCCATCCTAATTATTAAAAAAAGACATGATTAAAGTCAAAATGAACAACTGGATCCATGATTTTGTTTAGTATTAATAACAAAAATCACAGAAGTCACATTGATTCTTTGCAATGTAAAACCCAAAAGTATCTCTCTTTTCTGGTGACATATTAAAGGCGTTCATAAATTCTGTTCAGTTCTGGTCATAACGGAAGATTCTTAATCTTGTCCCCAAAACTGAGAACTGTCACGCCAATCTTTGCGGATCCATTTTCATTGCATAAATTTGCCTTTTCCTGTAAATGGAAATCTTGGTCCAAACTCAGACAGGGACCGAAGTTGAGTGCTGAAAAACATGCAAAACGAAGTCAGCCCAACTATACTCACTCTTTGGTTGACAAAATTCTCCAAAAATGTTCATGAGGCAAACACAAGGTCCTCAGTATTTCACCAGCCAAGTTTGAAGACTCAATTCAATTTTGAAACTTTTCTTCAATATTTTCCACATGAGAGGGGTATGTTAATACCGGTTGGAGTCTGGATGGTGGATGCTGATAATTACCCGAGCCCAAGGCAAGGGTAATTATCAGCATCTAGACTCCAACCGGTCTTAAACATAGTGTTTAATACCAACCAAGCACATATTTATTCCCATTCCTAAATACCTTTTCAGTCAAAAAATCATAACTTTTCGGTCCCAAAGTAAAAAATTATAAATTGTCAATGGTATTAAAGGCCTATACAATGGTTAAGGCCCTATGGTACACAATTCCTTATATGGAGATTGACGCGCAGTACACGTGACGCGGCGCACAACGCAGATGTACAAGTGTCATGAGTGTAGTGTGAATTTAGGACTGTGAAATACTGACTCACTGGTAGTACCGCGCATGCCAACGTGAGGATTGCAAACGTTCAACCAATAAAACGGTGCTGGCACCGGATTTCATAGGAGTCCAAATTTCATGTGACACTGGAAAAGTGTTGAAGACCAGCTAGCCATGTCTTTATCAACCGTTCATAAATACCTCAGACAGTTTAGCTATTCCTATTGGTCGAGAACCCGTCACGTGGCCGGTCTTAAACGGATGATAAAGACATGGCTAGCTGGTCTTAAACACTTTTCCAGTGTCACAATAAAATGTGGACTCCTAAAAATCCAGTGCCTCTTACCGTTTCATTGGTTGAACGTTCACAATCCTCATGTAGGCATGCGCAACACAACAAGCGAGTCAGAATTTTATAGTTCTAAATTCAAAACGCAACGCCCCAGGTGCGTTCTGCGTGACATCGCGCAGAACATGCTACGCGCGCGTCAATCTCCATAAAAGGGTTGTTTACATCTTACTCGCCAGCTGAACTATCCATTATTTTGCTAGAGGGATGTTTCAAAAAGCATGAAGTGAACTTGCTGAACAAAATCGGGATTTTTTGAACGAATTATTTTATATTTTTTTACGGATAAGGTATTTATGAATGGGAATAAATATGTGCTCCGTCGGTATTTATCACTCTGTTTAAGACCGCTTAGAGTCTGGGTGCTGATAATTACCCTCGCCTCCGGCTCGGGTAATTATCAGCACCCAGACTCTAAGCGGTATTAAACGAGTGATAAAAACCTCCGGAGCACACATTTATTCCCTTATTTAAGACCGGCCACGTGACGGGCTCTTGACCAATAGGAATGGGTAAACTGTCTTAGGTATTTATGAATCAAAAATAAACAACCTGAGATTCTGACTCTGAGCATTGGATGTTATAGCAGCAGCCAATTTTGAAATTCTCACACCTTTTTTTATCAATCTAAAAACTTTTTTTTTTTCAGATATAAATTAAAAAGTTACAATATAGTACACATTTCTGTCTGGTCAAATTTTCCGTAAAAACCACGTTGACAACGCCAACGCCCCACAGCATAAACTGACGGTCATCCACAGTGGTGTTCGCATCTCTTCTTGCTCTTTACGCCATGCCTCCGACCGCCGCTTGCGTAGCTCGCGCTCCCGTTGTTCTCTCTGCCGGGCCTCGGCGTAGTGCGCCCGGTAGAACTCGTCGAAATCGAACATGCGCTCGCCGTGCGTGTTGTAGTAGACGCTGAAGCCCCTCGCTTGATCTTTCTCTTGTCGTGCCGCTTTCTCTTTGCTCTCGCTGTGCAAGTCCCGCTCCGTAAAGATTCCGCGATCGTAGCGCCGTCGTAGCTTCACGTTGCCAAGGACGCTGTAGGCCTCGCTAATGGCAGCAAAGCGATCCTGTGCGATGCTACTGCCCGGGTTGACGTCTGGGTGGTAGACCTTACAGAGCTTGTAGTAAGCCACTTTGATCTGGGACTGGGTGGCTTTGGGTGTGACTCCCAGGACCGAGTAGAGATTGGTCCGTGGCTCGGCCCTCTTGTGCTTGTGGTGTTTGTAGCCTCTGACTTGGTACCAGCAGCACAACGGAGGGATCTTGGATAGGAGCTGAATGTTTGTCCTCGACTGGGAGACTCTCATGATGAATGGGACTTCTGATAACTAAATTAAAACAGAAAAGTGCATGCATGTAAGATTTTCGGCTTTGCATGATTTCGGCGGCTGTGTTGAGGCCAAATTTCACAGCCTCCGCCAGTTTTGATCCGCTATGTACAGTTTTGTCTCCAGTGTTTCTGGTTTCTCAAGCTACCTGTCTTTCCACACAATTAAGCTAAGCCTAAGTGATATTCAACAATGAACATAGTATCTTAGCGAACTATTTAGATGATTCCAAACACATCCATGCATTGTTTGTAGGCCTATGTAAAGTGACTTTAATGTTGCATCCTGATGCCACTTTTTCATAGGCCTAGGCTACATCATCTCAGGGCGATCGTGTAGTGTAGAGCCCAGTTCCTATAAGGGAACCAAATCCACTTTAAAATTATTTGACCTACCAAACTCAATAAACAGGTATGTCATAGATAGCCCCATAAATGTGGCCTATTTACTGGACTGTCTCCGTAAACATAGGCCACACATCCACATGTACAAAAATCGTGTCGACTTTGCCAAATTTTGATTTTCACATTAAGGCTTAGTTTGTAGGGTTTTTTTGCTTAAGAAGCATACTCACCCTCTTTATAGGCTAATCAGAAAGTGCTGCCTTTTTCAGATGTATATTTTTCGTGAAATTTCCAGATTCATTTTTACACGTTTGCGTATCAAAATTTCAACATGAAATTTCACAAAAATTAGACATCTGAAAAAGGCAGCACTTTCTGACTAGCCTATAAAGTGGGTTAGTATGCTTCTAAAGCAAAAAAATCCTACAAACTAAGCCTAAATGTGAAAATCAAGATTTGGCAAAGTCGACACGATTTTTGTACATGTGGACGTGTGGCCTATGTTTACGGAGGCAGTCCAGTAAATAGGCCACATTTATGGGGCTATGTCATAGATAGAGGGCAGGGTTTTGATTTTTTGAGAGAAAGTTGGGGGTAAAATGACAATGACAGCGCGGCGACAATACAATACAAGACAATTTTTGTCTTAATGTTTTACAAAAAGAAACATTTAGTTAAATGTCTTGGGGGCCTTGATTTGCTAACAAATTCTTGCAAATTAAGGGGAATTTGCATCAAAAACAGAGAGCTAAAATGTTTACCATCTTCCCGATAGCAGCTTATTGACCTTTGACATTAAAATGTGTTCGTGAAAAAAACTCTTACTCCACAACTGGATACGTCGATATTATGATGGGTAGCTCAATCATTATTACCAGTGTTAAACCATTTGAAGAATGTTACAGCTATTTAAAAGAGTCAGTAATTTTAAATTTATGGACTTATTTTATATACTGGTGATTGTCAAACTTAATAGTGTGAACAGTTTTGAATTGTATAACAATTGTACCCCTCCGATACACGTGACCTCACCCATTTATGTGCGTCGATCATGACGTCGATTGACTGTGTGTTCGTGCGTGTACATTTGTACACTGCATGTACATACTTTTTGCATGAGAAGATCAGACACTCCGCTAAAATTGTGAAACAAAAATTACTTGCTTTAGTGGAACAAAACTAAAGCACTTTTTATCGTGGAGACGATAACTCAAGATCAACACAGTGTACTGAATTGAAATTTCGTTCAATAATTGTTTGGGATATAGGGACACATATGGTTTGAAAATCGACGGGAACTATGAAAGAATAAATTGAATATGATTTAAGGAAATACAGTGCACAAATCGCGAAAAATTCAATTCGACTTCGAGTCACTTGGAACAAAACTAAAGCACTTATTGTGGAGACGATAACTAAAGAACAACACAGTGCACTGAATTGAAATTTCGTTCAATAATTGTTTGGGATATAGGACACATATGGTTTGAAAATCGACGGGAACTATGAAAGAATAAATTGAATATGATTTAAGGAAATACAGTGCACAAATCGCGAAAAATTCAATTCGAATTCGAGTCACTTTGAACAAAACTAAAGCACTCATTGTGGAGACGATAACTAAAGAACAACACAGTGCACTGAATTGAAATTTCGTTCAATAATTGTTCGGGATATAGGACACAAATGGTTTAAAAAGCGAAGGGAACCATTAAAGAATAAATTTAATATGATTTAAGGAAATACAGTGCACAAATCGCAAAAAAATCAATTCGACTTCGAGTCACTTTTAATGGAACAAACCTAAAGCACTCAGTGTGGAGACGCCACTCAAGAACAACGCAGTGCACTGAATTGAAATTTCGTTCAATAATTGTTCGGGATATAGGACACATTTGGTTTGAAAATCGACGGAAACCATTAACGAATAAATTTAATATGATTTAAGGAAATATAGTGCACAAATCGCGAAAAATTCAATTCGAATTCGAGTCACTTTGAACAAAACTAAAGCACTCATTGTGGAGACGATAACTAAAGAACAACACAGTGCACTGAATTGAAATTTCGTTCAATAATTGTTCGGGATATAGGACACAAATGGTTTAAAAAGCGAAGGGAACCATTAAAGAATAAATTTAATATGATTTAAGGAAATACAGTGCACAAATCGCAAAAAAATCAATTCGACTTCGACAATCAATTCGAAATCGAGTCACTTTTAACGGAACAAAAATAAAGCACTCTCTGTGGAGACGATAACTCAAGAACAACACAGTGCACTGAATTGAAATTTCGTTCAAGAATTGTTCGGGACATAGGACACAAATGGTTTGAAAATCAACGGGAACTATAAAAGAATAAATTTAATATGATTTAAGGAAATACAGTGTACTTATCGCGAAAAAATTTAATTCAAAATTTTTAATGGAACAAAAATAAAGCGCTAATTGTGGAAACGATGACTCAAGAAAAACACATTTCACTGATTTGAAATTGCATCCGATAATTGACTATGGTATACGAGACAATATATTTGAAATTCGAAAGAAACTGTTGACGAAAAAAATTAATACAACAAAAACATAAACGACATTGTGTAAAAGCACTCCCGTACATTTTACCAACATCAATTTCTTCCAACAGAGGGCGCGCTACACAAATACTGGTCGCCACCATAAAGACTTCCGTCAACGTGGATCACGATCTGCCCGAACGAAGTATTTGTGTTGACGATAACTCAAGAACGACACAGTGCACTGAATTGAAATTTCGTTCAATAATTGTTCGGGATATATGACACAAATGTCTCTTACACAGGGTGTAAGAGCACTTCCGTACATACAAATCATTTGGCCAGAATTCAATTAAATGCGTCACTTAATATTTGAGATAGCGCGTCCAGCTGGACAATCGTTTCTGTGCAAAAGTGAGGCAAATGTTCTGTTTGGACTGCAACTGCAGCTCCCCCAATTTTTCTCCGTTTTAACACAAGACACTGTTGAGGAAGAAAAAAATAATATTTGTCTAAATCTTCTGTCTTTTTTGTCTATTTTTAATGATTACTAATTTGGCCAGAATTCAATTATATGCGTCACTGAAATTTGGAGATATTTTGTCGTCCAGGACTATCGTTTGTGTGCAAAAGTGAGACAAATGATCTGTTTGGAGTGCAACTGCAGCCTATCCCCCAATTTTTCTCCGTTTTTGCACAAGACACTGTTGAGGAAGAGAAAAGCAATATTTTGGCTAAATCTTCTGTCTTTTTTGTCTATTTTTAATGATTACTAATCTGGACAGAATTCACTTTAATGCGTATCTGAATTTTGGAGATATTTTGTCCTCCAGCACTATTGTTTCTGTGCAAAAGTGAGGCAAATGATCTGTTTGGAGTGCCACTGCAGCCTATCCCCCAATTTTTCTCGGTTTTTGCACAAGACACTGTTGAGGAAGAGAAAAACAATATTTTGTCTAAATCTTCTGTCTGTTTTGTCTATTTTTAATAATGAATAATCTGGCCAGAATTCATTTGAATGCGTCTCTGAATTTTAAAGATATTTTGTCCACCAGCACTATTGTTTCTGTGCAAAAGTGAGGCAAATGATCCGTTTGTAGTGCCACTGCAGCCTATCCCCTCAATATTTTTTCCGTTTTTGCACAAGACACTGTTGAGGAAGAGAAAAACAATATTTTGTCTAAATCTTCTGTCTTTTTAGTCTATTTTTAATGATGAATAATCTGGCCAGAATTCAATTTAATGCGTCACTGAATTTTGGAGAAATTTTGTCGTCCAGGACTATCGTTAATGTGCAAAAGTGAGGCAAACGATCTGTTTGGAGTGCCACTGCAGCCTATCCCCTCAATGTTTCTCCGTTTTTGCACAAGACACTGTTGAGGAAGAGAAAAAAAATATTTTGCCTAAATCTTCTGTCTTTTTTGTCTATTTTTAATAATGAATAATCTGGCCAGAATTCATTTTAATGCGTCACTGAATTTTTGAGATTTTTTGTCCACCAGCACTATTGTTTCTGTGCAAAAGTGAGGCAAATGATCTGTTTGGAGTGCCACTGCAGCCTATCCCCCAATTTTTCTCGGTTTTTGCACAAGACACTGTTGAGGAAGAGGAAAAACAATATTTTGTCTAAATCTTCTGTCTTTTTTGTCTATTTTTAATGATGAATAATCTGGCCAGAATTCATTATAATGCGTCTCTGAATTTTAGAGATATTTTGTCCACCAGGACTATCGTTTCTGTGCAAAAGTGAGCCAAATGATCCGTTTGGAGTGCCACTGCAGCCTATCCCCCAATTTTTCTCCGTTTTTGCACAAGACACTGTTGAGGAAGAGAAAAACAATATTTTGTCTAAAACTTCTGTCTTTTTTGTCTATTTTTATTGATTAATAATCTGGCCGTAAATCATTTTAATGCGTCACTGAACTTTGGAGATATTTTGTCGACCAGGACTATCGTTTCTATGCAAAAGTGAGGCAAATGATCTGTTTGGACAGCAACTGCAGCCTATCCCCCAATTTTTCTCGGTTTTTGCACAAGACACTGTTGAGGAAGAGAAAAACAATATTTTGTCTAAATCTTCTGTATTTTTTGTATATTTTAAATGATTAGTAATCTGCCCAGAATTCATTTTAATGCGTCACTGCATTTTGGAGATATTTTGTCCACCAGCACTATTGTTCCTGTGCAAAAGTGAGCCAAATGATCCGTTTGGAGTGCCACTGCAGCCTATCCCCCAATTTTTCTCCGTTTTTGCACAAGACACTGTTGAGGATGAGAAAACAATATTTTGTCTAAATCTTCTGTCTTTTTTGTCTTTTTTTAATGATTAAAAATCTGGTGAGAATTCAATTTAATGCGAAACTGAATTTTGGAGTTATTTTGTCGACCAGGACTATCGTTTCTGTGCAAAAGTGAGGCAAATGATCTGTTTGGACTGCAACTGCAGCCTATCCCCCAATTTTTCTCCGTTTTTACACAAGACACTGTTGAGGAAGAGGAAAAACAATATATTGTCTAAATCTTCTGTCTTTTTTGTCTATTTTTAATGGTTAATAATCTGGCCAGAAATCGTTTTAATGCGTATCTGAATTTTTGAGATATTTTGTCCACCAGCACTATTGTTTCTGTGCAAAAGTGAGGCAAATGATCTGTTTGGAGTGCCACTGCAGCCTATCCCCCAATTTTTCTCGGTTTTTGCACAAGACACTGTTGAGGAAGAGAAAAACAATATTTTGTCTAAATCTTCTGTCTGTTTTGTCTATTTTTAATAATGAATAATCTGGCCAGAATTCATTTGAATGCGTCTCTGAATTTTAAAGATATTTTGTCCACCAGCACTATTGTTTCTGTGCAAAAGTGAGGCAAATGATCCGTTTGTAGTGCCACTGCAGCCTATCCCCTCAATATTTTTTCCGTTTTTGCACAAGACACTGTTGAGGAAGAGAAAAACAATATTTTGTCTAAATCTTCTGTCTTTTTAGTCTATTTTTAATGATTAATAATCTGGCCAGAATTCAATTTAATGCGTCACTGAATTTTGGAGACATTTTGTCGTCCAGGACTATCGTTAATGTGCAAAAGTGAGGCAAACGATCTGTTTGGAGTGCAACTGCAGCCTATCCCCCAAATTTTCTCCTTTTTTGCACAAGACACTGTTGAGGAAGAGAAAAACAATATTTTGTCTAAATCTTCTGTCTTTTTTGTCTATTTTTAATGATTAATGATCTGCCCAGAATTCAGTTTGATGCGTCACTTCATTTTGGAGATATTTTGTCCACCAGCACTATTGTTCCTGTGCAAAAGTGAGGCAAATGATCCGTT